ATAGAACCACATACATGATTATAAGAACTATACGGGCATAGAACCACATACAAGATTATAGGGAAGGTACGGGCATAGAACCACATACATGATTATAGGAACTGTACGGGCATAGAACCACATACATGATTATAAGAACTGTACGGGCATAGAACCACATACAAGATTATAGGGACTGTACGGGCATAGAACCACATACATGATTATAAGAACTGTACGGGCATAGAACCACATACATGATTATAGGATCTGTACGGGCATAGAACCACATACAAGATTATAGGGAAAGTACGGGCATAGAACCACATACATGATTATAGGGAAAGTACGGGCATAGAACCACATACATGATTATAGGGAAAGTACGGGCATAGAACCACATACATGATTATAAGAACTGTACGGGCATAGAACCACATACATGATTATAGGGAAAGTACGGGCATAGAACCACATACATGATTATAGGGAAAGTACGGGCATAGAACCACATACATGATTATAAGAACTGTACGGGCATAGAACCACATACATGATTATAGGGAAAGTACGGGCATAGAACCACATACATGATTATAGGGAAAGTACGGGCCACGCAATTATTTAAAAAATGTGCGGACGTGTAATCAAATAAGAAATGCAGGGGTATGAAACCAACTGCGCTAAAATAGTCGTGGTGTCTCGCTATAGAGCTACATTTTTGTAGGTAAATAATCCATCTACTCCCAGTACACCAAATAAACTGCTTTTGAAAACCAAACTAGAAAATAACTACTGAAACAGTGACATGGTACACAAACCACGTTTCTGGACAAAAGCGGAGAGCATTTCAATCCTTTTTGTGTGCTAGACCAGCTCAAGTAAATGCCACCCCCCCCCCCCCCAACACACAGACCCACCCCGCCCGTTTTAGAATATTTCAACAAGATCACAAGATGGGTTCAAGCCGATTCTAATCAGCCAGTCTCCCAATTAGTGTCTTGAAGTTTTTAATGTCTCGTTTTAAACATCGGAGAACGAGAAGCAATTTTAATAATGTCGTTTAATAAAGCTATAGAAAGATTAGAAACTAATTAGGGTCTAGCATTTATCTTACTGTTTACAAAAGAATTTACACAAAATCTAATGGCAAAAACTGTGCTCTACATCGAAATGGGCAAATATTTATTCATCATGCTGGTGATAAAAATCTCCTTGGATGTGTTTAAACGTCAGAATATTTGTTTAAAATCTGTAAAATGATCAAATTTATAATTGGGCTAATGAAAATTAGGACATCCGTTGAAAAAATTCTTCGGGTCGAATGCAACAGTATCTGCGTAGCCAGAAATAGATAGTAGTAATGGGGTATTGAAAATAGTTTCATTTCACGAACTGAAGAACGCGTTTATCAGGAGAAGGATCAGAGAGACGAAAGACATTCAAGTTGTCATTAACCGTTTTCTTCTATTCACAACAGTTTTACGTATTGGCTTGGAAATGAACATTTTAAATTCCACTAGTTTATCAGGAGCGGATTTGTTTTTTTTTTAAAACTTTACTGAAACAACCAAGGCGGTGCTGTGTGCTAATTTAATAGATCTCTAAATGACAATATTGATATTTGCAAAGGATCGATTTTTTTTCGATGAATCCAACTCCCATACACAAAAAGTAAATCTAGAGTAAAGTACACTCTATGGACACCTAAATGCGCTAACATACTTCAAGTTAAAGATGATCGTTGCGTTAAAGTCTTTATTAAGCTATGTGAACAGTTATAATAGATCTGAATACAAACTTCACATGTAAGTTTATATATAATAGATTATATATATATATATATATATATATATATATATATATATATATATATATATATATATATATATATATATATATAAATATAGCTTTATAGGGGTGGCGAAATTTGCATGACGGTCTTATAAGCCAGAAAATCTGTCTGCTCTACTTTGTAACAGGAGAGTTTCCATATTTAAGAAAAATGAAAGGATAAAAATTAAATACAAAGTACATGAACATAGGTCTATAAATATTATACATTTCCACATATCACTATCAAAGAAATATGAAGGGATAGTAATTCAATACAAAGTATCCGAACATAGGCCTACAGAACTAATTACCTTTGGACATGTCTTCATTTTAGAAAGAAACAGCAGGAGACAACAGAACGAATACAAACACGGATTTCAATCATTTAAAGCATATTTTTCACCTAACCAAAACTATCACATACAATATAGCCTACGTTACCCCCCCCCCACCCTGGGGGATGCGGAGGGTGAGTCACCTCCGGTGACCTTGTGACGTAATCAGTGACCTTGTGACGTAATTAGTGACCTAGTTACGTAATTTTAATGTGTTTTTTAATTAGTTTTAATGAGTTTTTAAAATTTTAATTAATTTTTTATTAACGAGTTACGTAATTTGATTATTTGTTTACTTTTTTAATTGTTTAATTTGTTTGTTTACTTATTACGTCACAAGGTCACCGGTGGTGACCCACCCTCACCCTCCGCATCCCCCAGGTGGGGGAGTATTTTACTATATCTCGTTGTCCCAGGCTCACCATTCACCTCCCCCAGGCGGGGGAGTATTTTACTATATGTCGGTGTACCTCACCCTCCCCCAGGGAGTATTTTACTATATGTCGTTGTCCCAGGCTGCGGCAGGCTGCGCCTGGTGGTGGGAGTATTTTGCTATATGTCATTGTCCCGCTGCACCCCCCAGGCGGGGAGTATTTTCCTATATAGCCTTTGTTCACCCTCACCCTCCCCCATACTAATCAAAAGGGACCTAATATATTACTCAAGTGTATCACAATACCTCCCCACCCTCTCCCAACACAAGTGGTTGGTTAACATTCACCATTAGAAAGTGTACCACAATACCTCCTCACCCCCTCCCAACACAAGTGGTTGGTTAACATGCACTACCAAGTGTATCACAATACCTCCCCACCCTCTCCCAGCACAGGTGGTTGGTTAACATTCACCATTAGAAAGTGTACCACAATACCTCCTCACCCCCTCCCAACACAGCAGGGTTGGTGAACATGCACTACCAAGTGTACCACAATACCTCCCCACTCCCTCCCAACACAGCAGGGTTGGTGAACATGCACTACCAAGTGGACCACAATACCTCCCCACCCCCTCCCAACACAAGTGGTTGGTTAACATGCACTACCAAGTGTACCACAATACCTCCCCACCCCCTCCCAACACAAGTGGTTGGTTAACATGCACTATCAAGTGTACCACAATACCTCCTCCCACAGCATATCCTACTCCCCTTTGAATGATTTATATATATTAATTCTAATACATGCCAAGATTGATTTGGTTTAATTAGGTTTGTGTTGAAAAACTAGGATTAGGCCTACTGTGAAAAAAACAAGGGGCTAAAGAAAGTGTTTTTCTCAGGGAAAATTAAAAAAAAAAAACTTTTTTCAATAGATAGACAGAAAACGCTACTAAATTTTATGTTATTCCATACTCAGACTTGCATGTAAAGAATCACTTCTGAAGCTCCACTAAAACCTGCAAATAGTTACTACTGGACTCTAAACTTGATTCATTAAAGATAACACTAGACCTCACATTCATGCTCTCTAAAAATGATTAGTTTATATTGGCGAGAGACATGGAGGGATTGATTAAGAAAGTGAAACAATTTCAATAGATGCCTCACATACGCTGCTTTTAGTGACTTTAAAAAGTGTCCTTAATAACAGGCTAAGTAGAGTCAGCCCTGTACTGAGGCCAAGGCAACATTTGTTCAGCCAACACAAAGCATTCCACCCATTTATTTACCCTACCATTAGGCATACACATCCATACAGCATGATGTATTAATGTGGAATGTTGCAAGGGATTTTAAACAGTGTATAAAAAAAAGACTATTAAAAACAACACATACAGATCAGTAGGGAGTTACATCTTGAAATCTGTACATGAAAAAAATGTAGAAAGTTGTAGCTTTAACACTGGTTTAAAAAAACCACACCTTGTTAACTATCAAGAATTTGAAACAGTGTGTAAAAGAAGACTTTATTAAAAACTACATATACAGATCAGTATCTTATAGAATTAGCAGAATAAGGCTAATTAAAGTATACGAGCTGACCCGCGACGTAGCATACGCCGCTATCCTGTTGTTTTATTTTCTACTTATCAGCAATTCATAATTGCCCAGTGACAACAGCCGTTTACAGACGACAATGCATAAATTGTTACCTCCCCTTTGTTTCACAAAATTTTAAAAACTAAATTATATGCCCCTAATAGCCGTGACTAATTCAACCCTGCTCTAAGTGTGTAAACATTTGTCGGGAGCCGAAGCTCACCAAACTGATGGGGTGGTGGCGATATGAAGAGGATTATTTATATAGATTGTTAAAACAACTAATGAAAGTTTGTAAATAATTGAAAATGATGTTAGGTTTTTTTGTATGAATATCATTACCAAAGGAGAATGTAAAAAAGTACACAACCTAAGCAAAGTGCTTAAAAGCTAAACTGTTTTTTTTACAGAGTAGTACCCACTTGCCAATCTTCTTGCTCAGAAAAATGGTAAGTAGAGGTGGTCTGACGTCAAACCTATGATAGTCAGCCACAGGTGATGTCTGTCACATTCAGTGACAAGACAAACATAGGGTGTTACACTGATGGTAAGTGGTGTTAGGTGTTTATACTGTAAGAGAATTAGTTCTATTGTAGTCCATAGGTTTAGACTAAACTTACATGTCACATGACCTGTGAGTTAAGATATCACATGACATATGGGTTAAAATAACTAATTGACACATTGGTAACTCTATTTTAATTAGCATTTACTTTTTTTTTCTTTTTTTCTAATGTGCCAAGAATTAAAAATAGACGTTTATCTCTCTTTATGTTTTTTCTTATGTCCTAAAATTAAGGATAAGATATTACCGTACAATATTTTTTTCTCATGTGCAAAGAATTAAAGAAAAGATTTCTAAATTTACTTACAGTAACCAACCAAAGCAACCCCTGGGTCATCAACATCCACTTTGTAGCTGTTGCGGATTGATGTAAAAGCTTCAGACATTGGGTCCCAGTCACTCATAGTGGATTTCTGTTCTTTGTCATCAGCTATTCAAGAAAGATTTTTTAAACCAAAATTTAAAATGTTCTCATATTTCTTATTTTAAAAATATTTGAAACTAGTAAGTTTTCCTATACAATAGACTTTTTATTTTAAAATCAGTACATTTTTTAATTTATAGACCTCTACCTTGCACATTCACATTATAAATATAAAAAAAACTATGCTCTAAAACTAGGACTTGGCAATTAGCCATTTCCACATTTTCTTATAGCTATGTAAAAGCTTAATACTTCAACCCAAGACCCAAAACAAAAAACACCAACAAATGCTAGTCCAAAATCTAATTTTCAAGAACTGCTATCAGCATTGACAGCTATGGAAACAAAAATTAGTCCAACAATCCCCCTCCCCCATGTTGTACAATGACTAAAAATATTTATTCTAGACAAAATGTTTCAAATTAAAAAACTGAACCTTGGCAAAGGCTGGACAAACCATCTAACCTTAACCTAACCTCACATTTTAAAAAATGTATCAAGGGTTACTTTATTTATAAAACTAGTTGCATTCGACACAGGAAGTTACAGAGAAATCTTTGTAATGTGAGCTGCTGGGCTTATACCTGTGTTGGAGTTTGCTGTCTCTGTAACAATGTCAGCAATGCTTAAAGATGCCAAGCCCAGGCTAACCAGTTCATGGTTCAAACAAACTTCATTTTCCCCACTTCGGTCAAGGAGGTAAACAGGAAGTGGCTCAAATTGGAAGTTGGTGAAGCTTCAGGGAGAAAACAGAGCAAAAATGGGGGTTACAGTTAAAAAATATCATGCATTCTTTTGTAGCCATTTGATTTTGTTTTATGTAGAGACAAAAATGAGTAAATAATTTTCTAATATGTTTATAGAATAAGTTTAGTTTAGGCTTAAGTGTAATCTTTAAGCTTAATCAGTATTTTAAAATTAGTTCAAACAACTAGCCAAATAGATGGATAAAGCAAACTATTAAAGAAAAATGTTATTATTTCAAGTCAAACAGGTTAACTTGACTTGTAACTTATAAATTACAACAATAAATTTGTTTAAAATTTTTTTTTACTTAGGTTAAAATAAAGTGAGAAACCTACTTGTTGACCTTATGAAAACAGGACTCTGAACCAATGGCATAGATAACTCTGTCATAGTCCAAAAGAGATTTGAATTTTGTAACAGCTTCAGGTGGCCAAATAACAGGGACTGTGGTGTCTGATGATTTGTGTGGCTTCACATTTGACAGTGTACACCAAGTACAGAGTGGACGGAATTTCTTTAGCTCGACTGGAATAGGATAAAGATGGCGCCGTTGGATCCACTCAAAGTCCCCATAATCTATGAAGAAGACTAGGATCTGAGGAGGGAAAGTAACACACGTTAAAGAAATTAAATCATCTTGATAATTTATCTACATTTTTACAGATTACGTGATTTAAGAAAATAAAAGCAGGAAGGTTGAGAAAGACACAGAAGATGTGAATTTACAAAAGATTAATTTACAAACAAAGGATGAATATACCAACAATATTTATAATCTCATCGAACAGCTCACCTTTTCCCCCATAGAAATGTTGTCAGTTTTTTGTGTCTTGTTTTCTAAAACTAGACATCTGTAAAAATTGTTGTCTTCTGGATGCATACCACAACAAAGTGAATTTTTGTTTGGGTGGAAAGACATGGAGAGTTTTATTAGTTCTATTTTAGACAGTTCTTCAAAGATGATCTGAAGCTCAAGCTGTAGTTGTTCTAATGTTTTCCCACTTTCTTCTTCAACCATGTGGACAAAAAAACAACCAGGGGAGATAACTGTACTTATCATGACTGGAAGTTCAATGCATTCTTGCAAGGTGATGTCCTCAGAATCTATACTACTGTTATTCAAATCATTTCCTTGAACATCTTTTGCTTTTTTCATCATTGCAAGTCCTCGGGAAATTAATTTTTTATTTACTTCAATGGATTCTGTATAACGCTTTGTGTAAGAGGATTCTGTTGAAAATTGAAGATTATCTGGCATGTTTATATTTGGTTTATTAAATGACTTTTCTGGCACTTTTCGGGTAAGTAAATTAGATAAATTTTCTGACATTTGGAGCTCTATATTTTTCTTCTTTATCCTCTCCAAGCAAGATGGAAATAAAGCTTTAGGCAACTTTGGTGAAAGAACTGGTGTTGTTTCAGTTGTATTATATTTTGTGGTTGGCTCTAAATAATTTAGTGAAGTTTCCAAGTTAATGTTTCCAGAAATAAGAGAAGACTTTTGTTCAGGATATAAAATATTTTTCATTGTTTGAATTTGATCCTCTAGCTCAATAGGTTTGGCTACATTATTCTGAATGAGAATGTGGGAAAGATTCTTAGAAGATGTCAGCTTGTCTCTACCATCACGCCGGACTATGACATCTATTATATGTGGAAATTTGCTGTCTGTTTCATCTTTATTGGCATAAGCAATACGTATTTGTACTCTGTGGTTCTCTATGTACTGCTGAAAAAGAAGCATTGCTTCTTCTGGCCACAAACTCTCTTTGTTCTTAGGGCTTGACTGTAACAGAGTAGTGGAGAAATGGTTTAACAAACTCCATATTTTATAATGTTATAATTGTGTAATTAGCTAAATGTTAATAATGGCTAATATTATAATAGCTAATATTAATAAAAGAAAATGTTGACAATTTTTAAGTAAACAGTAACAATTACAAGCTGTATACAATTTTCAACTATTGTATTAATGTAAGAGAGAACAACAGTAAGTTAGATATAGGACTCACTCCTGCCAAAGCACAGTGTAAAGCTTGAGCTGGGTAATGAGCAAGGCACAAAGGTAATTTACAGATCTCTGATACTGTAACTGTTTGTACATTGCCATAATCTAGGTAGAACACCTTCACCATCAACTGGCCATCTTTTTCTTCATGAAGACAATTTTTTAAAAATATGTAATTAAAACAGAATATAATTAACAGGAAGGAAATCAAATCACAAATACATTCTTTTCATTTATGCTAGCAGAAATTTTGACACAACAAATTCAGTATTAGATGCAAGCTGCTGATTAAGATAATTACACAGGAAAAAAAAACAAAATAAAATATTTTAATTAGGTACAACTCAAGTGTTAATAAAAATAATAAAATACATGAGTAATAATTTATTTACCTGAAACTGACATAATCTTAGCTCTATAGAAAAGTCCATCACTGTATTTTGCTAAACAAAACAGGCCAGGATGTGGCTGAATTGAAGTCCAAGAGTGTTTAATGTAAATCCTGAAAAGTACAGGTTCATGAAAAAAGTTAGGTGGCATACTTCATAAAAATCCTGAGAAAAACACATTTAATGAAGTTATGGTGGTTTGCTTCGAATAAATCCAGAGAAAAATATAAGGAAAAATTGGTGTGGCTGTATGCTTGATGTAAATCCGGAGATAAACATGGTTAAAGAAACAAGTTATGGTGGTATGCTTCAAATAAATCCTTAGAAAAAGGAAAGTAAAAATTGTTGTGTTATGCTTTATGTAAATCATGAGAAAAACATTGTTAATGAAAAATTTTGTGATGGTATGCTTCATGTAAATCATGAGAATTATGCAATTTAACTTTTGTGTTTGTCTAAATCTGACTTTCACAAAGCAGCAAAAGAGTAGTTTAAATACTTGAGATATGTATTCAAAGGATCAGATCAAATATTTCCTTGCCGCATGGGTGGAGTTTGACCATCTTGCTTGGTTGATAGCAATGGTAACAATGCAACAGTATAACACCACAGGCCTACTTACTTGATGTTGCTAGCTATTTCTTGGAGATTGTCATTTGATTGGACGTGAAATGACCATGGATGTTCAGCATCACTGACAGTCACTGAAAACATCTCACCTTCTTGAGGTATTATTTTCTTCACTGTTATAGCATTTTCTAGACAACATAGATGATTACTTTAATTTCCGTTACACATATGTCATTTAATTTTTATTTTAAGGACTACAATAATCTAAATAATATTGTGTTAAAGTTTAAGCTGTTAGGTAAAAAAACAAACATTTTAAACCGTTTTGTTTATCATTAAGGGTTAAGTGCTTGATATGTCATTAGTTTAGTAAATAGGTTTCTTTTAGTTTTATTCTTCAACAGGTGAAACAATAAAATTATTACTTGCCATTGTTGGAGATTTTAGTGTTCAAACCATATAAAGGAAGTTTATCTTCTGTAAGATCCTTGTTTACTCCTTTACCACTATGGATGCTAGAATTGAGATCAAGGTTAAGTTGCTGCTCTGATCCGCTGGATGAAACAGAGCTAACATCTGTATCTGAAGGGAAGAAAGTGTAAAGGTTGTTTTTTAAAAGATCATAAATACCTTTCAGTAAATACAAACAAGACCAGTCCATTGGAAAATAATATAATAATAATGACATAAAAATACATAATGAATTTTTTAAAGTACCTAGCTCATATCTGTTCTTGGAATAAATGGATGCTTCTTTCCTGACTTCATGCATCAGCTCCTTGAGACTCTTTGAAGTACTTGACTTGGGTTTTGTTTTATCAAACTTTAAAGGATGTCGAGGAGCTGGCCTCACAGGTGTTGCTTTACCATCTTGACTGTCTTGTTGAGAAAGTGGAGACATTGCACTTGTGGAACGTTGAGATTGCTGAGATGATGTATATGGATGTTTAACTGAGTCTGTGTTGTGATTATACCCTTGGTTTGGTTGATCTGACACACAGGTTTCTGAACCCTGCTGGATTGGACTTAATGTGCCACTGCTTGAATAAGATTTTTCAGAATTACTCTGTGGCATGCTGCTTATTTCTTGAATATAAGTACCTGAAGTTCTAGCATTGCAATCAGGTGTTTGTGGTAACAGACTTGAAGGTATCCCATCTAAATTGGTTATCAGTGCAAATGGAGGTGGTCTCAAGGGGTTTTGTATCAAGTTAACATGTTGGCCAAAGGTTATGATTGGGTTAAATGCAGACGTGTTGTAATAACTGGTTGAATGGTGGCTGAAGGCAGCATTATGACCATACATAGAAACAGAGTCAACCCAGTTGCTAGGGTTATGAGGGGAGTACATATTTGTTGATGGAATCTGGGACGGAGACATTTTTCCAGAGTTTAAAAAAAAACAAGGGTTTGTGGACGGAGTTGGCACTGAATAATTAGCTGGAGCTTGATGCTGGGCATGGTGTGGGTTAAATCTCAAGTCTGTTGCTTGATAAGGCCTGCTGCATACTTCATGTGGGTTGCCAAGTGAATTGGAAGTTTTCCCAGCATTAACATTATCCTGACATTCAGGAACAGTTTTTTTATGAGGTTTGCTAAACACAGCTGTTGATGTTTTGAAAAATGGTTGGCACTTATCAGGAACTGGAATGTTGAATGATTGAGTTATACATGAGAGTAATGTTTGAGTGAGAAGCTGCGGTGAATTATTAGGTGGCTGAGAAGTATTTTGAAGTAAACTATCAGCTGGCTGGGTAACATTTGAAAGTAAACTATCAGCTGTCTGCGTATCTTCTGGAGGTGAGCTATCACCAGGCTTGGTAACATCTGTAAGTAAACTATCAGCTGGCTGGGTAACATTTGGAAGTAAACTATCACCTAGCTGGGTAACCTCTGAAGGTAAGCTATCAGCTGGCTGAGTAACCTCTGAAGGTGACCTATCGCCTGGCTGGGTCTCTTCTGGAGGTAAGCTATCACCTGGCTTGGTAACATTTGTCAGTAAACTATCACCTGGCTGGGTAACCTCTGAAGGTAAGCTATCAGCTGGCTGGGTATCTTCTTGAGGTAAGCTATCACCAGGCTTGGTAACATTTGGAAGTAAACTATCCCCTGGCTGGGTAACCTCTGAAGGTAAGCTATCGCCTGGCTGGGTATCTTCTGGAGGTGAGCTATCATCTGGCTGGGTAATTTCTGAACCTGGCAGGGTAACCTCCAATGATGAGCTATCAGTTGACTGGGTAACATTTGGAAGTAAACTATCACCTGGCTGGGTAACCTCTGAAGGTAAGATATCAGCTGGCCGAGTAACCTCTAAAGGTAAGCTATCACCTGGCTGGGTAACATTTGGAAGTAAGCTATCAACTGGCTGGGTAACCTCTGAAGGTAAGCTATCAGCTGGCTGGGTATCTTCTGGAGGTAAGCTATCACCAGGCTTGGTAACATCTGTAAGTAAACTATCAGCTGGCTGGGTATCTTCTAAATGTGAGCTATCACCTGGCTGGGTATAATCTGAAGGTAAACTATCAGTTGGCTGAGTAACCTCTGAAGGTGAGCTATCACCTGGCTGGATATCTTCTGGAGGTAAGCTATCAGCTGGCTGGGTAACCTCTGAAGGTAAGCTATCAGCTGGCTGGGTAACCTCTGAAGGTAAGCTATCACCTGGCTGGGTCTCTTCTGGAGGTAAGCTATCAGCTGGCTGGGTAACCTCTGAAGGTAAGCTATCACCAGGCTTGGTAACATCTGTAAGTAAACTATCAGCTGGCTGGGTAACCTCTGAAGGTAAATTATCAACTGGCTGTGTAACCTCTGAAGGTGAGCTATCAGCTGGCTGGGTAACCTCTGAAGGTAAGCTATCACCTGGCTGGGTCTCTTCTGGAGGTAAGCTATCAGCTGGCTGGGTAACCTCTGAAGGTAAGCTATCACCAGGCTTGGTAACATCTGTAAGTAAACTATCAGCTGGCTGGGTAACCTCTGAAGGTAAATTATCAACTGGCTGTGTAACCTCTGAAGGTGAGCTATCAGCTGGCTGGGTATCTTCTGGAGGTAAGCTAGCATTTGGTCGAGTAACATTTGGAAGTAAACTATCAGCTGGCTGGGTAACCTCTGACAGTGCGTTAGCAGGCTGGGTTATCTCAGATGGTGAGCTTTCAGCTGACTGGGTAACCTCTGATGGTGAGCTTTCAGCTGGCTGAATATCTTCTGGAGGTAAGCTATCAGCTGGCTGGGTAACCTCTGAAGGTAAACTATCAACTAGCTGGGTATGTTCTGGAGGTAAGCTATCAGCTGGCTGGGTAACCTCTGAAGGTAAACTATCAACTAGCTGGGTATGTTCTGGACGTAAGCTATCAGCTGGCTGGGTAACATTTGGAAGTAAACTATCAACTAGCTGGGCATCTTCTGGGGGTAAGCTATCAGCTGGCTGGGTAACCTCTGATGGTGAGCTAACATTTACAAGTAAACTATCAACAAATTGGGTAACCTCACATGGTGAGCTAGCAGCTGGCTGGGTAACCTGTGAAGATGAGCTATCAGCTGGCTGAGTATCTTCTGGAGGTGAGCTATCATCTTGCTGGGTAATTTCTGAACCTGGCAGGGTAACCTCCAATGATGAGCTATCAGTTGACTGGGTAACATTTGGAAGTAAACTATCACCTGGCTGGGTAACCTCTGAAGGTAAGCTATCAACTAGCTGGGTATCTTCTGGAGGTAAGCTATCAGCTGGCTGGGTAACCTCTAATGGGGCACTATCAGCTGGCTGTGTAAACTCTGATGGTACACTAGCGGGCTGGGTAACCTCAGAAGATGAGCTATCAGCTAGCTGGGTAACATTTACAAGTAAACTATCACCTGGCTGGTTATCTTCCTGTGGTGAGCTATCAGCTAGCTGGGCAACATCTGAAGGTAAACTATCAGTTGGCTGAGTAACATATGGAAGTAAACTATCAATTGGCTGGGGAACCTCTGAAGGTGAGATATCAGCTGTCTGCATATCTTCTGGAGGTGAGCTATCAGCTGGCTGAGTAGCCTCTGATGGTGAAATGTTAGTTGGCTGGGTAACATCTGTATGTGAGATATCAGCTGTCTGCATATCTTCTGGAGGTGAGCTATCAGCTGGCTGAGTAGCCTCTGATGGTGAAATATTAGTTGGCTGGGTAACCTCTGAATGTGAGATATCAGCTGTCTGCATATCTTCTGGAGGTGAGCTATCAGCTGGCTGAGTAGCCTCTGATGGTGAAATATTAGTTGGCTGGGTAACCTCTGTATGTGAGATATCAGCTGTCTGCATATCTTCTGGAGGTGAGCTATCAGCTGGCTGAGTAGCCTCTGATGGTGAAATATTAGTTGGCTGGGTAACATCTGTAAGTAAACTATCAGCTGGCTGGGTAACCTCTGAATGTAAGCTATCAACTGGCACGCTAAGACTTGTAGATGCATTGCTGAAAGATTGTTTTATACATGGAAGATTTGACTGAGAGACACACACCAATGGACTATCACATTGTTGCTTCCTAACTGAAATGCTGGCTGAACAATTGAAAGTTTTACAATCATCAGAATTCTCTTGAGATGATAATTTTCCAGATGAATCAGGTAGAGAAGCATTTGAGGAATCAGGACAAAATGAAAGTTTTTTTAACAGCTCTGGCTGGTCTTCTGTCTGCCTGGTTACCAAAAGTTGAAACTGTTCTTTGTTAGTTGTTATTTGATTGGCTGATGTGACATCTCCTCCAGCTAGGTCACCTGACAAGGTTGTTAAACACAAGGATACATCTTCAGCAGCTGGCTTGAAATCATCTAAACAAAGTAACACCTGAAGGTTAGTTGTCAATAAATCAAAAATAATTTTAACTTTTGCAGTGGTTTTTATCAAATTGCACATTTTAAATTTGAAAATAACAATATTAAAAATTCTAAAAATTATTTTCTATACTAAACCAGAGTTGGAAAAATATTTTTGGCCCTATTATTAGGTTTTTAATTTTTGAATGATTATCTTAGAATGCAAAAGGTGTACCCACATAAGACAGAATCAATGTACATTGCAATTTGTGTGAAAAGATCTGATGTCCTGTCTATTTTATGCAAAAGTTGACTGTATTGCTCAGGAGCATGATTTTGTTCAAACTGCTCATCAGCCAATGAAACAATCTTAAAGAGAATCAAGGTAATACTGTTAACAACATTTGACTTGATGATTCAGATTAAGAAACATGTCAAAACTACACAACTAAGCAAATTGCACACAGAGAAATATATACTTCAATCCAGAAGAAAATATTTAGGCCTCAGCATTGGTGATTCTACCAGAAGAAATCCAGATCTATTAAAATTAAGCTTATAGTCTAATGTATTTAAAAATAGTCAACCTTAAAAAAATCTTATAAATAAAGAATCATTTATATCACTTGCCTCAGCAACATACTCAGCAATGTTGTCAATGATATCTTGCTTTTGCTTCTCTAGAACAGCCAGTTTCATTTGTACTGTCTGCTGAAGCTGTTGAGATCGTTTTTTATTCCTAGATTTATTCATTTGTATGCTGAAACCAAATTTTTGTAATAAAATTACATAAAGAAAAAGATACAAGTATTGTTAGTATATTCTCTCAAAAAGTAGGGCAGTCCATAGATATCACACACTTTGTCAATTTTTTTAAAATGTTAAAAATTATTACTTGACCTGATATTTAGTGTTAAATTTAACTCAAAGAAACAAGCATTGATTCTTTGAGGCCTTGGTAGAGATTTTATTTTACTAATGTGCGGTTTATCTATGCCTAGATTTCTATATCAAATATTAATAAATTAGGCTATTTCGGATTATTCTTAATCTTATTTTTTAAAATTTAGTCCTGAAGTTACAGTAGTTTCATCATTTATGAAGGGGTCTGCATGTTCTAGTCGGTAAAGCTCATGGGTGCTAAACCGAAAAGTCTCGAGTTTGAACCCTAGGGCAGATGAGGCTCGTTAGCTGGGAACAGCCACTCTTCTAGGAGAGACAACTCCAAAATTAAACAACTGCTACTTTGTAGTTTGTTCTTGGTTGGAAAAAATTCAAAAAGAAAAACAGGCTGAAATCTGAGTCAGTGGCCTCAATGGCGCATAACCAGTATACTTGTGTTGGAGGGGATTCCTTCCAACACTAAAATTAAGAACGAAGAAGAAGATCATTTATGAAATCTATCATTCTATACTATCTAGGTAAGTAGATCACTCTCTCAGATGTAAATAAAATTTGGAAGAAGTTGTAGGTGGACAAAGTAAGTAGGCTATCTATCTATAGAAAGTAGCTTAATGTAATTGTTAAAAGTTAGTAGATGGAGCATACTAATACTAGATCTAGTCTTTAAAAACCTAATTCTTCTTCTCAAATATGAAATTAAAGAAACTGAAGCAAGAACTGGCCTATTTGATGTAGCTATTGAATATTACTTAGGCCTATTTTTTTAGAATATAGATTCATTAGGGCCTAGGCCTATAGAATCAAGATTATATAAAAAAGGAAAAGTGACAGCCTAAATAAATAAATTATAAATGCCCTGTCCTAACATCAAACTAAAAAAAATATGTATAGGCCTATATTACTATATTTTTTTTTAAATGTTGGTAGCAGATTTCTAGATCTGTCTATAATAATAATAAACCAATATAATTGATCAATTGATGAATTTTCAATATTCAATATAGTATAGGCCAGGTCTACTAACTAAGTACCACTTACTGGTGTAGTAGTAATACTAATTGGTAAACAAAAACAGTAGCCTTAATTGTTTTCTAATAATTATTAGAGTAGTTTCCCTTGATAGTTTGAAGTTCCCATGCCTAACCTTATAAATGTAAATAAAATCATGTTGATTTTGACAATTCTTTTGTTAAATTTGGTTACCTTGTGTAACTGTGATAGATTAAAGAGAAAAAAGAGAATTGTTTTGAATAGTTATTATTAGAGTAGTTTCCCTTGATAGTATGTTGTTCCCATTTTTGACATAAATTTAAAATCTTGGATTTTTTTGTCGTTAAATATGGTTGTCTGGTTTAACCGTGATACAAGAATTAAGGAAAAAATAACAGAATCTTTTTTACAAGATGGGGGTGGGGGGGGGGGGAGAACGACCAGGGCAGTTAGCGATAATTTAAGGGTTTCTTTTACATTTTTAACAGCTGAAACATAACATAAGGTTTAAAACAAATTGATCTTTAGGGGGGTCGTCCATAAATGACGTCACACTCGTAGGGGGGAGAGGGGGTCCGTAATTTTGTGACGGTGTGTGATGAGGGGGAGGGGGGTTCAGATGGTGTGACGTCACTTTTTTGTATTATAAAAAAGAAATGTTAGAAAACGAAAATGTTTTAAAAAACTGTTTGTATAAATTGTAATATGAATTGATCAAAGTACTCTATGTTGACAGAGTTCTGACAAGATTTTGGAAAAATATCGATGTTTTAAGAAAAATTCAACAGCAATTTCGAGGGGGGTTGTAGGCTGAGGTGTGACGTCGTTTTAGGGGGGGGGGGGTCTGGCTTTTGTGACGACGTGTGGCGGAGGGGAGGAGGGGGAGGTAAAAATCGTCAAAAAAAAGCGTGACTTTATTTATGGATGACCCCTTAAGACTCGGTCCTGACACATCGTGTAACCAACTCAGAGTGGGCCTTGATAATTATTTTGTATTTTGTGTCAAAAAAGTGCATTGGCGAAAAGTTAAGCCCACCATCTGTGATCTATTTCTGATGTCTAGACCTTTGAATGAATATTTATTAAGCGCACGCCATGAAAACAAACTATATGCCACTAGGGTTATGGTTGAAGGTACCAACATACAAACCTTTTCATGCAAATTATTAATGACATGTCCCTATTTCACCCTCTTGCAATAAAACCTAAAAGTACAAGTTTCATATCGTCTTTTTTATAATCTTTAAACTAGGTGAGGGGCGGTTTGTGTCATGGAAACACCATGTAGCGAAAAGTGTCCGTAAAGTTGAGTAAAATAAGGGTCATTTCTGTTTCACAGTCTTTTAAATCAATTCCTTTCTTTACTTCTTTGACGTGACGTCACGTTAATAGCCAGACGGCTTCACCACAAATAAAAGTTTGTAAAAAGTGCAAAGCCCAACACCATTCTCCAATAAAAAATAAAATGCACGCATGCCTGAAATCCGACTAGCTTTATAAAAAAGAAATATGCGTAAAACTAAAAACCACCCGACACCCACCTACGGTCAAACTGAGAGCGAGACCTAAGATGTGTCTAGCTCGTGACCACGCGAGCACATTACTGTTCAGGCTGTAGTACTGTTCCACACGCGCTATACTATTATGTAGATAGTTTTTACGTTTTAATTATCTTGAGGTTATCGAAAAAAACCTACATCGTCTTAGGTTTGTCACACTTGGGAGCATGAAAAAAAAATCTTTTTCAGGTTAGCAAAGACGCTAGGGGAGAGCGGCTGAGCGCGCCGCCCACGGGGAACGACCCCGGGTGGGGTAGAAACGAAAATTAAAAGCTGATATTATACACAGTTAAAGAAAATATACAGCATCTTGGTTTTACATGCTGATGTAACTGTTACAATAAAATAAATCAAAACGGTTACATGATAAGGATTTGCTAGAAGAGCTTCCTACTTCTCTAAATTCGGGGGAAGGGTGCGAAGGGGATGCGCTTTTTCGCCAAATTGAATAACTAAATATAATGGGGGGGGGGGGGGGGGTAAATTTCATGAAATATTTATTTGTTTAGCAAGTTTAATTGTGATTTATTACTCAGTCGTCTTGTATAATATTTTTCACAATTTAGTTTAAAATACTGATATGCCTTTTACATAATTACAGCCAGATTCATTAGTTAATTCGATTGGACAAATCAATGTACCTAAATAATAGAGTAACATGAAATATTATCTTTGTAGGAAGCTAACATCTAAAATGTAATTATTATAAATATAGAGTAGGCTTATATATATGTATTTAAAATTGTAATCTTAATAGTTTACTGTGTATAACAGCCTTACTTTTTAAAATTGCTTAATTACTAAATATTAACTAAATTCTAGGTGGGTAGGCTATAGTCAGCTGAGTGGAGGTTCATGTCTAGGAGAGGATTCTAGAGTAGGCCTTAGTATACTATCTAGCCACAAGACTAGACTATAGATAGTAGTAGGCCTATGCTACTGGCCTAGTGGTAGAGAGCTAGACTTCTAACCCGTAAGTCTCAAGTTTGAATCCGGGTTCAAGTCTGTAGAACGTTCCTGAGTCCACCCAACTCTGATGGGTACTTAACTCTTGTTAGGGAAAGTAAAGGCGGCTGGGCATTAGTGCTGACCACACTATCCCTTCATATGCCGGGGTCACAGTAACAGGTGAACTCTACTTCACTTGCCCCATAGATCGTCAGATTTGGAAGGGGAAATTTTTAACTTTTAGTAGGCCTAACAAGGCCTACACTATAACAGTTACACATGCAAACTATACATGTCTAGAAAAAAACTTGCAAAAAGTAGATCTAAGTAAATAGGCCTATACATGTTCTGTGGGGGGAAATGTTCCATACTACATTAACTTGTTGCGAGTTTTTTTTCTAGACCATTTATTTTTCGATAGCAGGCTATAGATTGATCTATATGTCGTAAGTTTAAACATGGTATTAGACTTTTAAGTAGACATCAGATCTATAAACTAGATCCCACTAGATAGGTAGATCTGAATTCTATAGATTATGGAATCTATTCGCAGTAGTAGTTTCTCAGATTCTGGATCTAGATAAGAGATTGATTCAATTTTAGATCTACATTCTAGTCTAGAAGAATGTTGTCTAGATCTAGAATATATTAAAAGATATATTTTTTTAACATCAATTCATGTTCATTGGTATTTGTAATTGAACTATTAGAATTTGATTAGTTAGTAGAAGATCTATCCTATAGATAGGCCAATAATTATATAATAATTAATATTATTATTATATAAAATTATATTATATATATTCCAATATATATGAGTATAGTATATGTCAAAGGATCTATATTGTGATTATACAATCACTAACTATTACTAAGCTTGACTGGCTAGACTCTACTAAAATAGTATTATCTAAGTAGATTAGTAGACTATTACTAGATCTAATAGTGTATAGTTAGTATAGATGTAGAAATCTAGTACTTATAGATTCTAAATTTCTAGTAGTAGATCTAGACTAGTAGATCTAGACATAGCATCAGAAATTATCCCGTAATGTTTGTTGAGTTTCATTAACATTCGTTACTGTAAACCATACTTTATTTGGTGGTTAAAAAAAATATAAAGTCAAGTGCAGCAGTGCATTAAATTAATGTTTTAACTTAATTTAAAGTTTAATTGACAGAAAATTAAGGACCATTAGTAGATCTAAACATTGATAATAAAATTGTGTGAAGTTATTAATGTTTTTTAAGAAACACAGAAAAAAACTTGCAGAAGATTTGCAACAACTAGATTCTAGATCTAGATCTAGTAAAATGAGATGATTAGATTTAATAAAGTTTAAAGTAGTAAGGGGTCATCCATAAATGACGTCACACTTTTTTTGACGATTTTTACATCCCCCCTCCCCTCCATCACACATCATCACAAAAAGCCAGACCCCCCCCCCCTTAAATGATGTCACACCTCAGCCTACAACCCCCCTCAAAATTGCAGTTGAATTTTTTTTAAGCATCAATATTTTTCCAAAATGTTGTCTGAACTCTGTCAAAATAGAGTATTTTAATCAATTCCTATTAAAATGTATTAAAACAGTTTTCTAAAACGCAAAATAACATCTAAAATTTGTTTTCTAACATTGCTTTTTTATATGCAAAAGTGTGACGTCGCACCATCTGAACCCCACCCCCTCATCACACACTATCACAAAATTACGGATCCCCCCTCCCCCCTATGAGTGTGACGTAATTTATGGACGACCCCTAAGAAAAACTAGAACAATGTTTTGTAGCAGCAATAATTAATAATTAGCACATTCACTTCAAATTTAAAATAATTAGAAATACAAAATAATTAGCAAAACAGTATTTAAAATAAAAAATGCAATGAAAATCAATCAATGCACATTTTAAAACATTAAGTAATAAGTATTAAAAATAATATTAATACTGTGCCAAAAAAATAAAAATATGGTTTTGTTTTCAGCGACTCAGTACTATTTCTGGAAAGGAGTGACAGACTATACTATAGTTTTACTGTTTTTTTACTGCTGTACCATTCTGGAATAATAACCAACGCTAGATCTATAAAAAAAATCTATATCAGTGAGTATATCTTGAGATTACCCAAACAATCATATAATAAATAATTCATACTAGATTAGATCTAGATGTCTAGAACTCTAGATAGATATCTAGATCTAGAATCTAATTGAATTGATACTGTCATAAATTACATGATTACTTGATTACACATTAAAATTCATTAAATAATTAAATTTACATGTATTGAGCAGTTAGAAATAATAATAACATTACTAAAGTATGCTGAGCTTAAGTTGAATTTTAGAACTTTGCTTAGGATGATTTATTTGTTTCTTTGTAAAGATAGATCTAGAATATTAATCCAGATCTAGGCTCTAGATTTAAGTCCTGAATCTAAGCCTCACAACTGCAGCATTTGCAAATTAAACTGTAACGGCTTTTGAAGTTTAGAACAAAAATCTCAATAAAGTATCAGCAGTTCTAGCAGTCATTTTATTTAGACACGTAACAGTTCGTCTGCTGCTCCAACCTAGATTTAGTTTTTTTTAAATATTAGATCTAGGGCCAAATGTTTCTGAACTTTGAACACATTTTAGATTTTACGCTGTTTATTACTTTTAAACAATGAATAGATATCTAGATTTAGTTCCTCTAGTTTCCCAAAATAGTAATTTATAATAGTCAGAAGATTTTGAAGTAGATCTAGCTAAAGGGAGATAAAGAGTACAATACCGGCATCTTAAAAGTCGCTTCCGGGTAAACAGTGAACTCTCAGAAAATTTCATTTTCAATGAAAGAACGGTAAGCACCAATTTAAAAAAAAACACTTGGTAGAATGTTTACACCAGTGTCCGATAATGAAATCTTCTTTAAAAAAGGGGTGTTGGGTTGTTAGTCTAGATCTAGATCTAGATTCTAGTAGTATGTGTAATGATAATCTCGACCAATTTTATGGTTAGAAATTTTCAAATGAACAAATGGAGGCGAGCGAGTTGACGAGATTCCTTCCATAAGATAATGTATTAATGTTGTTGACATGGAATAAAAACGTGCTTTTTAGATTTAGACCGTAAAAAAAAAAAAAAAAAAAAAAAAAAAAAAAAAAAAAAACTTAAGCCTAAAATTAATTTAGAAATTTTTTATTTTTAGAATAAGGGAATAAATGCTATAAAAGTTGCAAATCCAGAGAACTTGAAAATAATTTGTTGAGTTTAAGGCTACATTTCTATATTTATTATTTATTTTCATCAAGCCTAAGTTATAACCGGATGTTTCACTTTCGTAAGACAAATATTGATTGGCTGTACAGTAACTTAGTGATCGATAACTATTTGTTTACAAAACTTTGCAGATCAAGTTTTTAAATAACAATGCAAATGTAAAACCCCATGACCTAGTTTTCTATTTTTAGCTTACAATGTGTACAATAAAATCAATGGCGGCCTATCCAATAGCAGGATGCCATTGTTTATGTCGCCATTACACGTGAAAACCAAATTGTTTTTGCTTTTTTTTAAATTTTTATTTAGTTACCGAAAATATTATAAACATCAAATACATCCAATCTTTAGTAAAGTAAAGTCCGAAAAAAAACCAGACAGACAGGATTTTATAACCATATTAATTGTAACTACGCTGTGCATGATTTTTAAATGAATTTATACACCTCTCAAATACCTTTGCGACTTTTCTCGCTGGTGTCCAATACTAAATTAGGGCAGGTTTAAGCGTATGGTTGTTTTGTAAATTGTTATGGTAGGACCAGGGTTGGGGTTTAGGCTTTAGGGCAGGGTTAGCATTGTGACATTACCAACCAGCTATGTGTGTATTTACTTTACTTAGTTAACTACCAGTAACCTAACTCCTCTTTTTTAAAGAAGATTCCATTATCGGACACTGGTATCTAGATCTATATATAACAGTAAGAGTAATAACAATCCCCTAAAATTTTGTCAAAACTTGAGAAAAATCCTAAATTTGGAGTGAAAGTGTAGAATCTAGATTTAGGCTAAATTAAAATTGTGTAGGGTAGGCCTACTCATTTTTTTTTAGATCTAGACTAGATTTAATTTTTTTTTCTTAAAAAAAGTTGTTGATGTCAGTTAAGATTTTCATGCATTGGGTAAAGTAGAAACACATAATTTCAAGGCATGATACTATAAACTATAAATTACTTCCATGAACTGAGAACTCACAATGACCCTTAGCTATGAACTTTTATGAAGTATGCTGATAATTAAAGTCAATGTGAACTCACGGTGAACGCCAAGATTTTGTACCTTTTCTGATTAAAACACGTTCATAAAAAAATAAGTAGATCTATCATCTAATAATTCTAATCATAGTGTTTTCCTAACATTTTTGTGTGTTTCGGTTGTGTTTATAATAAAATACACTCAACCGGGGGTGAACGTGAAGCGGCGAATAAATTGAGTTTTACTGATATGTAGGCCCAACATTCACAGTTTATTAATAAGTTTATTAATAACTGTAACTAACTAGATCGTTTTTAGTTACCTAGATCTTGTAGTATTTATTTGGTAATCGGTCATGTAGTTTTAGGTGAGTAGTACAATCGGCCGAGGCTAGTAATGTGCAAAAAAGTTGCCTCATTGTTAAGGCTTTAATTGAAGTATATTGTGATTTATTTGTGTCAAATATTATACATAACTGAATAATAAACCAAAATCAATGGCTAAATAATAAGTATATCAATGCCAGTATATCAACAGCACTGTTTGTGAGCAAGATTTGCTATATAAACAGCGGCCATCTGTAAATTAGAGTGGTTTCCCCCTGAATCTTTCACTATAATTTTACAAAAAAAAACTTAGGATGGCTGTTAAAGTAAATGAGCTTGGTTGCATCTGATGAAAACATTGTTAGTCTTTATTTATTACTGAAAAGTTTTAATACAATTGTTTAAAAACAGGTACATTTATGAAACTTTGAAACATTTTTTATTTTTGTAACTTTCAAAACATAAATCCTCCTGAAAATGTTAAATAATTACTAAAATTTAATGAGTCACCCTTTTTTTTTCACGTTACTAGTCTCGACCGATTTTACGTAAAAACAATAAATTATCAATAATTCTAATACTAATATCAATTCAACAAACATCATTCATAGGCCTAGATCTATATTTTTAAAACATTCAGGAAGATAATTTTCTGTAAAATATGCTTAGAATTTCTTTATTTTTTTTTATTATGGGGGTTTCCTGATATTTTATTTCCCCACTACCTATTCTTAGTGATAAAAAAATAATTTTATATAGGCCCCGAGGTCCTTTTTTATTATTAGGCCTATTTTTTTCTATTCTCCAAATGAACCACAAAAGGCCTATTTAAAATCTGCAGAGGTTCTGCTATAAACTAGATTAAACTAGATCTAGATTAATATTAATTAATCTAGTATCTGTTACTTGTCATTTTCTTTAAATTTTTCCTTAAAAAAATTAACTTTAAAACAATGCCCTACCATATGTGCTCTGAATTTGATACTATTCAATGGGACAATGACGATAGGCCAGGTCTAAAAAAAATTTAATGAATTCTTAAGATCTTGACCATCATCAACCTTGTTTTTTCTTATTTAAATAATTAGTCATAGTAAAATCTGCTTTAGAAAAAAAAATAGGGTAGCATAGCAACAATTGACAAAAGATAAGTCTATTAGTAATGTACAATTTCTATAAAAGAATCACTTTGTTTTATTATTTACCATTAAAAATGTTAATAAAAATATCAATAGGCCTGGATTTTTTATTATTTAAAAAAAATTTCCCTTTTGAACTCACTTTGTTTTCTATAAAACACTTGTTGTGACCTCGACAGTATCACGGGTATCAAATGACAGACCAGGACGGACCAGCGGGGAAACCCCACAGGTCACCATGACCTGGACAGGACGGACTGTTAATAGCGCGGGTAGATGACTGCGGTTTCAGAGGCGTAAGGGGGGGGGGGCGAGGGGGTACATATGTCCCCGGGCGCCGACCTTAGGACGTTTGCAGCCCCAAGATGCTCACCCGAGGCTGACACCTTAGGTTGACCGTGGCAGAGTTTCTTCCAGGTATCTCTTCGGGGAGTGCCCCCCCCCCCCCCCGAACGAAATTGAGTTTATGTAGAAAATATATACTTTTGACAGTGTCCGCCCCCCCCCCCCCCGGAAATTGTTGTGTCCCCCCCCTCCCCGAAATTTCAAGTGCACCCCTGGAGGAACAAGTCTAGAAGAAACACTGGACCGTGGCCTGACCCCCAAGGCCAGGATAGACTATATATGACAGGGTATTGGAAGCCCGGGGACGACTGACTCGAACGACGTGTGCTCGTGTGCCACTGTACAAATAAATATTTATATATTTACACAAGTGGCTTTTGTCTTTGTACACACTCCACGTTGTTGGTATACGACCCCATCACCACCACTCACAACAACTGGTAGAGCAGCGGATTACAACAGTGAAAAAGCTCGCGAACTCAATACAGTGCAACAGTGTTTTACAACCGACAGCTCACGACGCAGGTGTACACCTCATGAACTCATCTGTGCAACTGTGAATGACGTCCAGTCTGCACAATCTACAGTCGTCATCGAACCACAGCAGCTGACGTGATTTCGTATAATGGAAAGCGGTGGATTAGGGAAACACAACGAAAGATAAATACCTCTTCTTCTTTACGTTAAATACTGGGTCTCGTTTCGGACTGGCCGTCCGTACTCAATTCTCGAACTGATAGACTACGTTAGCTGTGTCCTTAAGCACAGGGAGCTTCTACAACAGTAGACACCCTGTCTGAATCTTTAGGGCGGTATTTGTTGACAAGTTCGAGAGCACCTAGGGAGAGGGCGTCATTAGTCTTTTACGGCTGTGCTGACGTAGGGCCGTAGGGCTCGCACCTGTCAACGAGATACTATATCTGTTAGCTGTGGGCGTTCATTGTCTTGTTGTGGCGCTCAGCACTTTGTTAATCTCGTCGTGATTCTTTTGTGTCTTCCTTCTATCCATATTGTCTCAGTTATTAGTACGATTGTAATATTTGTTATCTCATCGGTTCTATAGAAAAAGGTAAGTCATGGATACACTAGCTCAGGCCTATGAGCTGGGGAATAGTTTAGGCTTCCAAGGGGAAGAATTAGAAGAATGGGTAGACGCACGAATGGCGGCGGAATCAGAAAGAGTAAGGTTAGATAAGGAGACTGAAAAACTAAAGCTGGACGCGGAATTGGAAAAAGCAAGAATGGAGCATGGTTAATGCAAGATTTTGAAGGCCACCTACACCCAGTACTTTACGTAAGTCGAAAATTGACACCGACCGAAAGAAATTACGCAATAATAGAACGGGGATGTTTGGCGGAGGTGTGGACACTTAATAAATAAGTTAACCAAATGTAAAATGTTTCGTTGTGCACTCTAGATAATAACATAGAAAAAATAGACTCAGAGGAACAAAACAGGTAAATGTCCGAGGGTTAAGTACGGCCAAACAAAATTGGGGTGGGGAAATCTGGGGTAAAGGAGAGGTGCGAAATGTTGGTGTTAAAGTTACAACCGCATCCACGAGAAATCTATACGTCACGTGTCTCCTTTCAGTAGCTGCTGTCTCCAAGGTCAACAAAACTAACCAGCCATACTCCAACAGCGTGTTATAAACACATGGGCCGCCCCGGCGATAAATCAGGGGCTACCCTCCAACCCTGGGACTATTCTTTTCTCCCACATTGTCATTGTAAGACACCTGCAATCAGCGCCACCTCCGCACACTCGGGACCTGCTATTGACATATTTAGTAATTTACGGATCCTGGCGAGGCACAAGTGGAATGGTGATGCTACTTCATAGAAGGGCCCAACCGAGACGGCCAGCCCACAACATCACACCATCGTAGTCGGATATTCAGGACGTAAGGGGCATTACTTTTAACACGCCCACTGGCCCCAGTACAGGATAAGAGGAATAGCACTACGCCAGACGAATGCGCCCCTCCAACGGACCAACACCCAAAACAATATCATCGAACTTAAACGTTCAGAACTTAACGAACTCGGCGGACACTACATTTGACACATGTATAAGGAACAGTGTCCACACCACCTATTTACATTTCTTTGGACACTCCACACCACTTATGTACAGTCTTGGGCCACTACACTTCGACTGACGTCTAAGGATTACTGCCCACATCATCTCTGTTGCGGCCTGCACGGCTGGCATTGCATTCGTTTTCTTGTTCGAAGTGTGTACATATTAGATCAAGGTGTTTTGTGTGTATGACCTGACCGACTACGCTTTATTGTGACCTCACCTGTGCCGCTGGTATGACAAAGACGGGACGGTGGTATCTTAGACGATGTACCAGCGTCTTAGTGAATGGGGGGAGGAGATGTTGTGACCTCGACAGTACCACGTCTGCACGGGTATCAAATGACAGACCAGGACGGACCAGCGGGAAAACCCCACAGGTCGATATGACCTGGACAGATCGGACTTAAAATAGCGCGGGAAGATGACCGCGGTGTGCAGTCTTAAGATGCGGACCCGATGCTGACACCTTAGGTTGACCGAACGACGTGTTGTGTGCTCGTGTGCCACTGTACAAATAAACATTTATATATTTACACAAGTGGCTTTTGTCTTTGTACACACTCAACGTTGTTGGTATACTACCCATATCGCCACCACTCACAACACACTATTAGTAAAATAGGGGAAAAAAATAAAACGTTTCCGAGTTGTTCTGTTCTAATTGAGCTAGAAACATGGTATCATGGGAAAGCAGGCATTCTCCTCCAACTTGTGCAGTTTCAGGATAAATTACTCAAAAATAAATTGTGTATGCTACTACATAGGTAGGCTACCCTATATTAATTCAATTTTATGTTGGCCTACCTAAAAGATAGATTACATTTACCGGCCTACTAATACTTAGGCCTAATACTTGTTGATTATTGAAGTTAATGTATTTAATTGTATGGTGGCTTAACAATTATAACTAGAACCTAGAGAGCAGTACTAACTACTACAGTACAGTGCGTACTAGACCTAGTTAGTACATTACTCAATGCACATCTTCAGAGACATAGCCAGACTCTGAAAATTAAAAATGTCATCATCATGTTATTTTAAATTTATATTCACAGATTACTGAACAAGAAACGGTTTGTAAATTTATTTTCTTCTCAAGATCAAAAGTACACATGGCATGCCCTTCCAAGTAAGTAGATCTAGACCTAATTTATGTTTATTAAAAAACATGTGGATATAAACATATGATGTGTGTGTGTGTGTATATATATATATATATATATATATATATATATATATATATATATATATGCTACAGAACATTACCCCCTCCCTGTATTTACCCTCCGGAGCAATTACCCCCTTGTCAATTACCTCCCTGGGGAATTACCCCCCCCCCCCCCCCCTCCCCCAACCACCACCACCACCCTTACCCTCCTCAAATTAGAATCCTAAAGCTTATTATACTTATAGATATAAAGGTTTTATTGTAAAGAGCTAAATTAGTGTAGTGTTCCCTTTTGTCAATGGCCAGTATGTTGTTGAGCTTACTGACAGTGTTGAGGGGGTACCAAAATGTCAAGTAATGCATAAAACTTAATTGAAGACTAGTTCATGCTTCTTTGTATTTTACAGCCTGACAGGAGTAGTGTATGATGAGAAGCTTTCTTCTCACTTCAATGCATGGAACAAAGATTTTACTGAAACACCTCATCGTGTCATCCAAAGTATTAAAAGATGCAGAGAATTGAAGCTGCTAGAAAGATGCAAACGTATTCCAGTTAGCTCAAAATTTTATTTACATTTTCTTTCTATTAATTTTATTTTTCTGAGGGTAAAAACAACTCCTGTATATATTGATTGCTAGGTGCTCCTTCATGCGTAACAATTTCAGAATTATATTTACCCTTTCTATTTAAAACAGTTAACAATACATTATGATTAAAGAGTCATGTGTTTACAGTTAGTGGGGAAATGAAGTTGAGTCCATCTGTTAATATTTGTGATGTTAAATTTTAATTTAGCTAAGGCAAACTATGAGACTGTGTAGTTAAACTGTAGAGCTCATAATTGCTACCTAAATAGTCTCAGTTTAGGTTCTCATGCTGGATTTGGTTGGATTTCTTAGAGTCAATAATGCTATAAATGAGATTGAGGTTAGGCAGCTGGATATTGTGCTGAACGCTATTCAGTCATTTGCCAAGGTCAGAGAAACAGATGAGCTCTACTTCATTTACTCAATGGACCATCTAGCTATAGAGAGTGCTTTTACTTTTAAGATGATGGGTCCATAACAATAATAATCAATTAAATGTCTGACTTTATATACAAAGGCTGTATTCAAATTAAAAAAAATATTGTTAACTGGAGTTTGTAGTGTGATTATTATTTAGATATAGTGGTTGAATTTTAAAAAATTAACTTCATTTTATAAAACGATGCTGAATGAAAATATTTTCAATGAACTAGATCAGGGAAGCAAACGAGTCCGAGATTCTCACATGCCACTCAAGGAAACATTTAGAAATTTTAAAAAGTACAGAAACTATGAAAAGAGATGAGCTAATGGCAATTTCACAAAAATATGACTTCATTTATTTTCATGAGGTACCAGTCTTTAGTTTCCTATATAAATATTTAATATTTTACAAGTTCTTCATTCATTTTCTAAAAATAGTAATTTTTCTTGTTTCCCTATACAATATCAAAAACTACTGTTATAAATTTTGTGTGTATGTGTTATTATGCTCAACAATTTACTATTATACATTTTTAGAAGTCCTTTGAAAATGCTACACTAAGTTTAGGAGGAGTTGTGGACCTTGTGGACAACATTGTGTCTGGGAAAGTAAGTTTAAAATGACTTATGTTAGTAGAAATTAATTAATTATACTCTTTTTCTGCCTTTGTTTGTTTCATCTAGTAAAATATATAGATTCCATTTTGTTTCCGTCTGCCATTTAAAGGGCAAGTGATTCTATTTTTATCATGGTTAAAAATGATTTCTCCAGTCAGGTTAACTAACTATTATTAAAAAAAGTTATTAAATATTGTTACATGAATATTTGATAATAAAAATGATAAATCTCGTCCTTTTACTTTCCAGCTAAAAAATGGAATGGCAATAATTCGTCCCCCTGGTCACCATGCAATGTTTGAAGAGTTCTGTGGCTACTGTTATTTCAGCAATGTTGCTATTGCGGCACAGTTAATGCTTGACAAGTACAATTTAAAAAGGTAGTTGGTAACTAGCTGTTATTTTCCATATCAGTGTTAGATTTATTAAGTAACTGAATGTTCAGTTAGTCTTATCCCTACTTGAAATAGTCTACGTTGTAAATACAACTTTTAATAGCTTGTGTACTATTTTTTGTACCCCTCAAACCCAAAAATAGTAGTTTGACAAGTTTAACTTATATTACTTGTCTTCTATATTTGGCACCCTTTAAACTACAAATAGTAAGAATATTAACATTTAAGCATATAATTGATATTTTAATACCTTTAAAGAACAAATATTAAGTACATATTTGCAAAAATATTTCAAAACTATTTTTAACGTCTCTGTTCACCAGAATTTTGATCCTTGATTGGGATGTTCATCATGGCCAAGGTAGCCAGTTCAAGTTTTATAATGATCCAAGGTTTGTTGATAAACCTTTTCATGTTCTAGAAAATGAAACTAGGTTAACCAAACTTGATTAGAGTCGACACGCAATGTCAAAAGAGCATTATCATCCTCAGGGTATTATTTGCATCAATACATCGCTATGAGCATGGATCAGAATGGCCACACCTGCGTGAATCTGATTATGATTTCATTGGGGAGGGTCCTGGTAAAGGATACACAATAAATGTACCATTGAATGAGGTAAGTGGAACAAAAGGCAATTCAATATTTCACAAAAATATCAGTAACTTATTTATCACAACATAAATTTTAGTTCTTAAAAATCTATTTACCTTGTAGGTGGAACAAATGCTTTAATGCTTCATTAAATAACAATAACTTTATTATACCATAGTTTAAATATTGCAATATTTCAGCTGGGACTTGGAAACAGTGAATACTTAAGTATTTTTTTCAACCTTCTCCTGCCAGTCTTTTATGAGGTCAGTACCAACTCAATCATTTTAAAAAAGAGAAATGATCTACATTTTATGAAGCTTGAATTAATCCAATTCAACTGAAGCAATACATTTGACTTGTCTTGTCTTTCAGTTTGACCCCGAGCTTGTGCTTGTGTCTGCTGGATATGACTGTGCCATAGGCTGCCCAGAGGTCAGTACAACAACAAATAAAAACCCTTTTACTTCCAGGTTAGGGCAGCATATCAAGATGGAAGATAATTTGAATTTTTTACAATGCAGGGAGAGATGACAGTAACACCTGCATGTTTTGCTCACTTTGTGAATCTGCTGAAACCACTTGCTTCAGGAAAGCTAGCACTTGTTCTTGAGGTATGACAAAGTTCCAGGTGAAAATAGAAAAAAAGTTTGAAGATGAAGAGCACTGTATATTTTAAAGCAATGGTAAAATAACAATATAGAATATGTGTATCTGAAGTTATTAAATCAAATTTTATTCCACAGGGAGGCTATAATCTCAAATCATTGTCAGAGTCTGTAGCTATGAGTCTGAGGTCTCTACTTGGTGACCCAAACTCCTTAATACCTCCAATCACAGCCCCTAAACACAGGTACACCCATATAATCTTTTTATCAACCCATTGCCAGCTAAAGTTATGTATATATATTCAGTACATCTTTTTATCACTAGAGTGCTTCATTTTTTAAAGACATTTAACTTAAGAGATGTTTTAATGTTGTTTTTTTTTATACTGATTAATGGCTATCTTCAGATATTTATTTAGATATTTTCCTAAGTTTATCATGTACTATTTCCTAGTGTTGTTGAATCTGTGCTGAATTGCATCAAAGTTCTCCATCCTTACTGGCAGTCTTTATGCTATCAAGATCTAGTGAGCCCACTAGACATCCCAGCAGATAAATATCCTTTTAAAAGGGTGTTGCATTTACCCCCTGTGTAAGTAGCCCATACTTGATTTAAATACATTTTTAAACTTAATATTAAAAGAATTAAATACTGACAGTTTTATACAACATTTTTTTAGCCTAAATTTTTAAAAAACTAAAATGTTATATTTCACTTGAGTGAGCAAAAGTAAGACATAGCTTCAAATATCAGTTGAAAAGTGAATGCTTTTTACTGCATACTCTTAATGAGAAAGTGGTCATAGAGCTAAATGGGCCATCTCTGCTAAATAATAATGAGCCAGTGTTTATTTTCTTGCTGGTGGGAGGGTTGGGAGGACCTAAAACAGTGGGGAAAAAAACTGTTTCTTTAGATGCTTCCAAAGAAGATAAGGTTTGGAATTACTAGCCATTACCGACTAGCCAATATACTTGTTGTTTTTAAATTTTTATTATCCTTATGTTTACAGAAAAGATGTGCAATTTTACACAACAGAAACTCGACCAGAAATGTTTCCATTGATCCAAGAATGTGCTGATGATTTGACTGTGAAACAGGTTGAGGAGATCAACAAAAAAATTGATGAGATCATCAAGAAGACCTCACTTTATGTTGCAGAAAAGTGGTATGATAGCAGTACTAGAACCTCAGTAATAACTTGCTCATGTTGTTATTGTCATACAGCACTCACTAAATTTATTCTTACAGCTTGAGTGTTGTGGCAGATAAGTCCAACATGGGTGTATACAGCATCTGTCAAACACATTTAGGGGCTCAGTTCCTATCACTCAAGGTATTTCTTTCAATTGTTTATTAAACTGTTACCCCTCTCTTGTTTTCCAGTGTATTTATTCTTATTCATGTGATTAAAAACTAATTTTATTATCTATATTATCTCTAGGATAAACTGTGTGATTCACCCACCTCTCCAGAATGCATCAAAGCTTCATTAGAGTCTGTACTTAATGGCCAGGTATACTACTTAATGTCACTGAAGATATTAGTTTCTATTTTTAAATATCAGCACCTCTTAAAACATGTGATTAACTTCACAAAGTACCAATAAACAGTAAGTGATGTAGTTTTTAAAATAAAATAGAATTCACATATCTTTAAGACATTAGTCTTTATTTTTCAGACTCTTCCCCTCCCTCTCCCCCCTCCCCTTTCCCACATATATTTTATATATATAAATTTTCAAAAGATTTTTTTTTCAAATTACAGACCCAGTGCAGTTTGGTAGTTATCAGTCAGAGCAGCTTACAGTTAAATGGGCTTGAGAATAAAGCAACCCCTAATGATTTGGATAATGTTACAATAGCTGCAGAACACATTACCAACAACTACAGCAGTAAAAAGTAAGTTGTACTAGTATGTTAGTTATTGTTTTTTTCACAGGCTGATACTATAGTTATAGATTGTATTTAGATATTGTAATATGCCAGTTATAGATTGTATTTAGATTGTAGTTATAGCTTCTTCCATTAAGATGTGGTAACATGCAAGTTATAGATTGTATTTAGATGTTGTAATATGGTAGATCATATGACAGCAAATAGCTAGAAATTATTATTTTTATTGGTTGAAAACATCAAACATATTTTTGTAAATAATAATGGGGATAGAATTTTGATTTGTTAACTGGAAATTTCATCTAGATATATAAAGGTTTATTACTGTTTTTCCAGGCTACTAGTGATTGAATTTGGAGCTTCTTCTGATCATAGGCCAACATTCTTAAGTCGAAATTCTAAGTATGTATGATGTTGACATTTATCTCATGTCTGGTAGTTAATGTTGGTATACCATAACAAATTTCTTCTTTAGGCCTAGCGATTCTTTGGACAAATGAAGTAGTTCATATGCTTCTTGACCTTAGTGTATGAAGGTATGGTGTGGTCAGCAGTATGCCCAGATTCCTCTACTTTCCCCAACATAAGCTAAGTACCCATCAGAACTGGATGGACTCAGGGACATCCTACAAACACAAGTCCAAACAGAGATCCTAACTCGAGACCTGTGGATAGCAGCCAAACGTATACCACAGTGTAGTCCAGTGATATTCTACCTCTAGTATTTTGTTAGGTAAAAAATGTATCCAGAATACTATTTATTAATCAGTTTTGTGTATTTCAGCATCCTACTGCTATCAGTTAATTGGTTTGGTAAAAGACATTGCTGTGGAGCTCCTGATGTTGATATGGAGGACATCAGTTCAGAGTCCCATAACATCAACATCACTTTCAATGTAAGCCATTTACATTTTGTTCACAACTTGTATGTCTAAAATAATCCAACATTAATTAGGAATTAAATATTTTTACAGCAACCCTTCTCAGATGTTGACTTGGTAGCTGCTTTAATGCACATTATCTTGCCACTTTCCTATGAGGTAATGTTATTTGAAACACAAGTTACTAAATTTATTTGAATTTTATTGATGTTTTCTCAGACCAGGACTTTTTTATATAAACATATATAATGTAGCTTTTTTTAATTATGAAAACTTAGTAACAATGTAGTTTTCTTTTTTCTCTTAGTTTTGTCCAGATTTAACTCTGTTGAATTTGAGCAACACCCAGAATTCTGAGGTACTTAATCACATTTTACTTTGTTAGTGTTTTAAAATGATATAATCATTACTCAATTTTAATTTTTAGATTGTGAGATTATTTTAAAAATATAACATTCCTATTTTGTATTTTAGAACAATTCCTCTCCGTTATCCAAAGCTGTTGTGGGCCATCTAATCCATTTATTGCGTGGCTTATCCCAAGGGAAACTTGTTGTGCTACTGGAAAATGAGACCAACTATTCTTTTTCATGTGTTGCCAGAACAAAAAATGGCAATAAAGTTAACATTGAATCACCCCAATTTGCTGATTTGATAGATGAGTGCATGAGGATTATGTTGGGAGGATCATGTAGACCCCTGGCTAAAGGCATCATGTCAAAGAGGTAACATTTTAGATGCAGTTTATAACAACTTTTTTCAATGGGCTATTTTCATTCATAAAGTAGCTGTCAATTAACATATTAAAACAGCACTTAAGTTAAATGTTTTTAAGAAATAAAGCACTTTAGTGATAAAATGATGTACTAAATTAAAAAATACTTTTTAGAGATGAATGTAATTTAAAAAACTTAAAAAATTCTAGGAATGTTTTACTAATCAAAGAAACTCAAGACAAACTCAAAGGACATTGGAAAACATTGCAGTTTCGTTGTAAGTTTTTATATTCATAGACATTATTGATTTGTGTATTGCATTGAATAATTACTTCACTTGTTTTTCTCCCTTTTAGATTCTTTGTTTAATATTTTGCTAGTTTATTCTTAAGTAATATACACATCTTTTTTTAACTTGTTAGAACTCTAAGGTAGGGTATAATTATAACAAGATTTTCTTTACAGGTAAGATTCCTAGTTTGATGTAATTTGATTGGCTGTACGACAGGTCAGTGATTTTAAATGCAGGTCAGAAAATAGAGCTAACACAATCCACTTGCCAGACTTTTTACCTACTTCTTTGTGTAGTAATGTTAAACTCGAAAAGCCACATTTTTATGTCAATATTGTGTATTTTCTAAGTCAGTTTTATATTTATTAAAAATATTTTTTGTAAAAGCTCTATTAAAAGCTTTATTTTTACTGTATGATACTACAGTCAATAAATATTGTAAAATAGGATTTTCTTTTCTCATAGAACTGCAATGGAGTTGAAGCTTGTAAAAATGTATTTACACTTCAAACTTAAAATAACTTGTGTCACAAGATTAAGTATATTTTAAACACAAGTCAGTAATTGCTGGATGTGTCATGATTATTTTTTTCATGTTTATATATAAACCACTAAACGCACTCTCAATGCAAGTAAAATATTTTTTAAAGTTCACCTGTTTGTGAACTATGACCAACATTTATTGTAAAAATGAAATTTTTTTATCGTAGAATAGTTTTGTGAAAAAATATGTACAATTTACTCCACTAAATTCTATTTGCTTTTTTTTTGGGGCTGTTGCAATATGGGTTTTACACAAAACATTTAATGTTTTAAACTGTTGCATCAAGCAACAAAATCATTTTCTTGTAAAAATGCACTGTAGTTAAAAAACTATACCCGTGACTTTATTATGTGAATACTTTACCAGCTTTAAGGTACAATTTAATTAAACCAGTTTACATTGTATTAATAGTTGTTTTTAAGAGTATATTTTGTTTATTTAAACTGTACTGTCCCTGTGCATATTATGTGTGTTAAATATTTTATTACATTATTTCTATTTTATTCTCATTCCCTTTACAATGACATCTTAAAAGCTTATACTTAAGTATTGGATGTCAATCAGCCACATTGGTTGAGACATCTGGTTATTCTCCCATCCCACACAGATTTTAATTTTTATCTACTTTTTTGAATGAAAATAATTTATTCAATAGTTTTATATAATTATAAATGTTTGCTAAATACAAAATTTGCTTAAATATTTTAAGCATTGGTTTAAAACTACTGGTACTTATTTGTGTTTTTTTATATATTTTTTTCCAAGTAATAAATACATTTAAAGAAACTATGATGGAAACCAAAAGATAAGAGTAGAATTGGATAATATGGATACTATGCAACTTGTTTAATTCAATGTAAATTGTCATTTTAATATTGCAGTTGTAGAGTTTTTCACAGTTGTTACATTGCTGATTGGTTCACCTATCCAAGTGCTTTCACAAATAGTATTTAACAGCTTTACAAGTTCATTTTATTTCAGAGACTTTAAATGAAAAATTTAATTTGTTGTTCTTTTGTCTAATATAACACATTTTACAAATTTTTAAAAATGTATTCTTGAATTGAAAATTGTGGTAAACTGTTAACAGTTTTACCATTTTAGAATTGTGAAGATAATAAGTTTGAAGATACTGCATATTTAAAAAATTGTTTGGGTTTTTTTTTTTTTTTCATTTTTCTCTTTATGAGTCTGGTCAAGTTTAGTAGGTACTTATATATCATACAACAACATCTTGCATGCATTTCCCATTGAACCATTTGCTTCAAACCTTGCACACTGTTCAGTAGTGGTTTTTTTTTTATGAATTTGATTTATAGCTAAATTTAAAAGCTGAAAATAGCATTGAATTAGTTTTTAATTTTAAACAACCACTCCTATACCTATAAATGAAATGCTAAAGAAGGTGGGGATTCTTTAGTTATAGTAGTTATATCAAGATTTATAAACTATGTCAAAGCATTGGTCATTCATGAAGCATAAAGTATATGCAACTGTTTCAAATTGTATGTTCTAAAAGCACATAAAGCATATCTATGATGCATTTGGTGGTTTTATTTATAGGAAAATCTTCCTTTTTCAAAAGTTTTTTGCTGTCAACTTTGTTCATGCATCAAATTTTAGAAAATTATTACATTTATAACCTAACTGCATTTTGATATCTATGCATGTCTGTTTAAAAAAGGCACTATTTAGATAACTTTCTCACTACCCAGAATATTTTTACTGCACAAAACTATTTCAACCTTTAGCTGATCTGCACCTGTGTGAACAGGTGTCATCAGGAGCCCTGGGTTGGTATCCAAGCTTTATATCCATTCAGCATGTGGATACCATCTTGTGTTGTAAATAGATGATCTTTTGAAAAACAAAATAATAACAATAAATTGTTGTAGTAAAAATTGGATGATTTAAGTTAGTAATGAATGTTCTTTTTGCATAGCTCAACACTTTAATGTTGGAGAATTGATTTTTGCTAAAATATGCTCAGCTACAAACTACAAAATATTTAGGATATTATGAAAGATAAATGATTCTTCAGATACTGTTACACTTCTACAAAAAGACTACTACTTAAAGCTAAAACAGAGCTATTTTAACCACCCACACCTAAAAATTAAAATGTTTATTTTTCAGTACATGCATTTGCTGTTTATTACATTAAAAATCATTTATTAAACTTACTTTGTTTTGTGTTTACTGTTTGATTAAATTGTTTTGAAAATTTAGCAAGAAGGATATTTTAATAATGGAGTAGCACAGACAAATGTTCCCCATCTTTTGAGAATTACAGTATGGCAACTTTACTATCTAAATGCACATATACATTAAAATGTTTCAGACCAACCTAGTATTATAAATATTCTTTATGAAAATACAATATATCTGCAAAAATTATTTTTAAAAATGGAAATGAAACAGCACACTTTCTTTATACCCCACACCTTTTCTCTCATCAAAAAAGTGCGACCCCCCCCCCTCACCCGTTTATACCAACCTATTTGTTTCAACCATAAATGTGGTCACGCTTTTTTGGACCAGTTTTACCCCCCCCCCCCCTCGTAAAAAAAAGCCAGCAATTTATTAAAACAGTTTTCTAAAACGCCAAATTAAAGGCTAAAATTCGTTTTCTAGCTTTGATTTTTTATAATGCAAAAGTTTGACGTCACACCATCTGAACACCCCCCCCACTCCCCCTTATCATACACCGTCACAAAATTACGGACCCTCCCTCTCCCCTTACGAGTGTGACGTCATTTATGGGCGACCCCTTATTGAATTATTTCAATTGCACAAGAAAGCTGGTACTTTGTATAGATCTAGTAATTTAAAATTATTTTATTTTAAATTAATTCAATATTTTATCCTCTTTCATTGTCATCGGGTTTTATATCATATGTGTAAAGTTTGAAAGAAAAAAAGATTAGAAGTAGAGATCTAGTTGAAATTTCAAAACAAACTACAAAAGCATGACAGACATAGGAATTAAGTTAAATAAAATTATGAATGATGACACTAGTTAACTCAAATCTAGATACTATATAGATCTAGGCCTAAAAATCTTTTATAATTAAATGTTTTTATAATTTTATTGTATTGCTTCGGACACTTTGACAACGTTTCGGAACATAGATATACCACAATGACATAAACAAACCGGTCTGACTATCAATCAGTCTACACTACACTCTACTACTTATTACAATTTTAAAATTCGAGATTCTACATCCATATAAATGAGTACTTGTGTAGTAAAATCAAACAATATGATAGAATGGATGTCGTCATTATCGGAGTTTTCTAAGATCCTAGATATTCCTCTTACACAGTTAGCAATTCCAGGTAAGTCAGTGTGAGTGTGGCTCACGAAGTGCAGTGTCACTCAAGTTCAAGTGATTGTGTACTGTGTAGCACTGTAGGTAGTCACTGTATTCAGTGTAATACGAGAAAATCTGGAGTTTGGATCTCAGGCTTGAACTTGAGAGTCTGTTGGGTAGCCCTGGGCGAGTCCCTGAGTACACCCAGCTCTAATGAATGAACTCTAAACTGAGACTCTAATGAAATAGAAATGTGTACCTGACTTGTTTCGGGCTGGGCATAATGAAGACCACATTAATATCCCTTCATAATACTTCATATATATATACACACGAACCGGTCAACTCCCCATAGACTTCCAGATTTGAAAGGATAGTTTTACTTACTTAAAGTGTGGGGCTCAGGAGTGCTTTTTAATTATAAACATTATAGAGTAGAGGCTTTGTCCACTTTTGAATTTCTGAACTGATAATCATGAGAGGGTTTATCCAGTCAATGCAATCTTCTGAAGCTACAGGGGTGTTGGAAGTGGATACCTCATGCTATTTCAAATAAACCTAAAAACTAAAATCTCATGGCATTCTCCCAAATTTTTTTTTTAATAAGCTATTGTATCTTGAAATTGCATCAGAAAGTGAAACACTCTCAATTTAAAAAAAATGGGATGGAAAAACTTACATTTTAAGAATGGGAAAGTAGACTTGTAAAGGATTTTCCTGCTTTCCATCTTTGAACACATACACAACTGGTACATGCTTCCATTTATAAACTGATGAGCTAGCCTAGATCTAGCATTAAAATTAAAATATGATTTGTTACCCTGCTACTTTTTACAGTAAAGTTAAACCTGAAAAAAATATTAGTAAGAAGAATTAAATAGGCATATAACCCAAGTTTTGAAATTGTTGTGCCAATAATTTTCAGGTCCTGGAACTTAACATTTATATTCATTAATGTGTCTATGTGTGACAACACTTTAGCCTACTATATTACTCATCTGTATCTCTCTTGGCAGTGACCAATTTATTACTCAACCTCTATCAACTCCTTGTGACCTTTTGATAGTATATAGTTTTTTAATAGATTTGAATGGTTTTGACAAATAATAACTGTATTAGTATACCATGTCACAATAAGCAGCCAACATCACTGAGACTGCAAGAATCCAGATTTACAAATGTTCCCGTATTACTGTACATATAATTTACTGCCTCCACCTAAATCAATTTTTAAATTTGTGTTATATTGTTAAAACTAATATACTTTTATTTAATGCTCTTGCTTGAAGGTTCCCATAATTCCGGCACATTCACCTTAGATGCTGGAGAAAGAATAGCCCCTGGTGCTCTACCTTTTGTTGAAACTTTAGCTAGCAACCCCACCATTGGACCTATGGCTAAAGCTATTATTCGTGGGTGGGCAGTGTGTCAGACATTGAACTTCAGACAGCAACTAGAGGCTGGGGTTAGATATTTTGATCTGCGTGTTGCAAGAAAACCTGGAACAGAGGATCTGTATCTGGCCCATCAGCTGTATGGGCCAAAGGTTTGTTAAGTCATTACAAATGTGTAGCAAATAATAGGCAAGTTTACTTCCAAACCTTCAGGAAATTAATTATTTCTCAGTTTAATTAGTGGTTTGGTTCAATCGAGCTGTGACAGCTATAGTTTGATATGTCAGTTAAAGTTGAGATGATAGTCTATAGTTACAAACACTGTGTAATGTACACTAAATACTATTTTTATTTTTAAACATCTTTCATAAAAAATTTTTTGGTTCTCAATTAAATTATCATAAAAAAATGGTTACTTATCATTCAAAGCACAAAGCTATATTGTAACAATGCTAATGAATTTTTTTTGTTTGATGTCATATTTCAGGTTACAGACGTAATAGAAACATTATGTCAATTTTTAAAAGAACATCCACATGAAATAATTCTACTTGATTTCAATCATTTCTATGGGATGGATCTGGAACATCATATACAGCTAGTCACCTACCTTATATCACAGTTTGATTCACTTATATGTCATAGATGTGATACAAAAAACATTACTCTTCAGAGGATGTGGGAGGAAAAAAAACAAGTAAATAAAATATGCTACGGAAAAACATTTGACCGAGTACAAGGCACACTCTTTTGATACAGAACTTTCAAAGCTGGTGGAGCATATAAGTTGATGTCATTTTAAATTATCAGACATGTGTATTTTTTAAATAAATAAAATATTTCACTTGAACATAATATATAAAAACAAAAACAATTGTTCTTATCAAATAGGTTGTGATTTTTTATCAGCATGGATCAGTTGAAGATTTTGAGGAGATTTTCACATCAGAAAGTATCAGTTCTCCATGGCCAAACACAGCAGACTCAACTCAGTGTCTTCAAGTGTTAGAAACCATTCATTCAAGAGCTCAGGATGAGAAATTTCTTGTTTGTCAAGGTGTGATTTTTGTTTGTTCAATTTTTTTTTAAGTACAGGTATGCAAGTAAACAGATTTTTAATACAGGGGAAATAACTTATGCAAAAAATAATTATTTTATTATTTTGGGACATTTTAATTTTTATCTTATACATATATTATAATGTAATTAACTTTATAAAACCAAGGCAAAAATCTAAAAAAAAATTATTTACTTTTAGGAGTTCTTACCCCAACTGATGGAACAATTATAGCTGGCATGCTCTGCAACTTAAAAATATGGAGCTCATCTTGGACACCATTATTTAACTCATGGATTCAAACTTCTAAGACAAACAGCCGATTGAACATAGTCTTGGCTGATTTCATTGAGAGTGATAATTTGATACAATCAATTATTAATCTAAATTTTACAAGGTTTGACCTAAAGTCATAGCTATTTATATTATATATTACATATAGATCTATATGGTCTTATACAAATATACACAAACAATTTCATGGCCCTGTTCTTTTGCTGTATCTGTATGGCTGAAAAAAGCCAGTTTCATAAAGCATATATACAGCAATATCTTTTATCATTAGAAGAAAAATATCATTGACAAGGATCAGTTTGGTGTTTTTACCAAAGCATCAATATAACTTGTGTGTCAATATATCCAAAAATATTTCTCAGTGCAGATTGTAATATTTATTAAAAATGAAATTTGATGTTCATGTTTTTGGTCTTTTGTTTTTATTGAGTGCAAGAAATCTGTAAAAAGATATAATATCAAACAAAAAGGTCAAAACTGTAGAAAGGCTTTATTTTCATGTTGGCTTATTTTGAGTGATGTCATTAAATAGGTGGTCAGTACTTTTGTATTTAAAAAAAAATACAAGTACTTATTCCATGTACACAACAGATATTATAAACATGTTAGTTTTTTGTGAATTAAACACAATCTACTTGATAATACTTTATAACTATTTGATCTTTTAAAACAAAATCTATTTAAAAATAAAATTTTAACTAGATCTCCTTTTTCTTTTTAAAACTTTTGATAAAGTAGGGTGTGTCTTGAAATATTTGTAAATTTTCAATGAATGTAATCTATTCCAAAATGAACAACTATTTTAATGGGGGGGGGGGGGGGGGGTAATGATTTCCAAGGGACTGTTAAAATAGAAATGTCAGACTATTGAATATTTTATTCTAGCTATGATGTCTCTTGCCTTTTCACACTTAAGTTGTAGATTGCAAATCACAGTCATGAGAGGGAAAATGAAATCTAAATTGTGGGTTAGCTAGCTAGGGCACTGCTATTTAAGATACATCATCTTTTGGCCAAACTGAGCGTGTGATCCATTAAATTGTGACCTCACACGTGACATCATTCAAGGACACTAGGACAGCCTATATTAAATAAATTTACTTGACACGCACTTTATTTAGATTCCCTTAGTTTTCGCGGTGCAACTGACGGACTTAATATATATGAGCGTATATGTTGATTGATAAAACAGGTAGATTCTAGAAGTAATTTTTTTAATTAGATCTCAGAGTTGGTTAGTTAACAAGTTAACTTGTAATAGTAATAAATTATAAGCCCGTATTTTATTTCTTTTAACTAAAAGAAATTCTCAAATGCCATAGCATTGTTATTTCAGTAGATGTTAAAAATTTGCTTCATATATTTATATTTCTGGTTTCATCTAGACTTTACGTGATGCCACATTTTACAAGTCTATATTAATTAAATATTTAAACATTAGATTTTTGTATTTTTATAAGTGATCTCCCTTGATTAAAAATATAAACAAACCTACTTCCTCAACAATCAAAACAAAAACATTTTGTTGTAATTTGGTTTTAGTGTACGTGCCGTGTTATTTTTTAGTTTTATATAGATCTAGATTAAGATCTATATCTTAACTTTTTATATTTGAAAATGATTTTAAGTGGGAGATACATAGATCTATATCTGTCTTGTTTTCTGTTTTGAAAGAGATTAAAATTATTTTAAAAGTATGGCAAACAATGGTCATGGTGGCCGAAGCCAAAATGCCGACTGGATGTCGAGGTTGCCTGAAAGTTTGCTCAACATTTCTCTCACTGGACTTGCAATACCTGGTTAGTAAAATTCACACTAGACCTAGATCTAGATCTAGATAGGTCTAAGTTAAATAGACTAGAGACATTTCATAGAAGCCCCCTATAATTTAAAAAGATTTTATCTCTAGATTTAGGCCTAGCTTAGCCATAGGTGGTAGCTATTTTTTAGTTTATAAATTAATATAATAATTAATTAGTAATTAAATTACTAATTTAATTTACTAATAATTAGATTTTACTAACTTTTAAAAACAGAAGTAGCCTACTAACTAATAAGACTATGTCACTAATATGTTATAATCAACTACTTTGAACTGAAGTAGATTCTAGATCTAGAATTAGAAGTAAAAATTGTGTATGAATGAATTGTGAATGAAAGAATTATATCATAATGACAATCATTTGACATGTCAATTTTGTCATTAGGTGAATTATTTTTACGAGCTGACCCACGGCGTGTCATATGCCGCTATTTAGTTGTTTTATTTTCTACTTTTCAGTATAGTAAGTGAATTCAACACTACCCTCCCTTCCATTGCCAAAATTGTCAGTAAATAAGAAAAGCGTAGGCCCCTACTACTTATAATTTTTACTCAACAGGCACTCACAACTCTGGCTCTTATTTTCTCAACACCAAAAAGCCACTGTCACCAGATTTTGACTACAGTGTAGTTCAGTTTTTGGCAAAGGTTCCTCTAGTAAGAAATATTATTAAAAAAGTGATACAGAGATGGTCTGTGTGCCAGTTGATGAATTTCAGCTCTCAACTTGAATATGGTATACGTTACTTTGATATTAGGCTGGCTACAATGGCAGATTCAGAAGATTTTTATATTGTTCATGGCTTATATGGACCAACAGTAAGTAAACATCAGATAGGCCTAAATTAATTTTTGTTCCAGAGATCTGATCTCATTATTGCCTTTGTTTTGGTGAAAATTATATTTAGTTAGTGTAATAACTTTTTCTAAGGTTTCATTTTTATAGGCCTATTTAAAATATTTTTTAACTCTATTTCTCAAATACATTGGATACTGCAATCCTGAGAGACACTCTTTGTTTATTCACTAGTTATTTAAAAACAGGCAGATAACAATATAATTAATTTGGATCTTGTCCAGATAAGCCCCTACCAAAAAGTGAATCCCAGCCACCCAAAAAAAAGATATCTTTAAAAAATATATATGAAACTTGTACATTTAGTTTGTAACCCTAGCACAACCCTAACCATGACCCTAACACTAGAGGCAGATAAAGAGTTGTTTTTATGGCTTGCATTTAAGCATTCAAATGTCTAGACATCAGAAGGTTGTGTGCGTGCATTAAATTGGAACTGGCAAAAAGTGGTGGGGGTTAACTTTTTGCATTAGTGGCAGGGCTTATCTGGACAAGATCCATTTATCTTTCTAATTTTTAAAACAAAATTTCTCATTGTATTTTATTTGGTGTTTTTTACAGGTCATGGATCTGATTGATTCTGTTAAAATGTTTTTGCTAGCAAATCCACGAGAAATCGTCCTGCTAGATTTTAACCACTTTTACAAATTTACTGAGCGACATCATGACCAGTTAGTGGAACTACTGGTGTCCTCTTTTGCCTCCCTCTTATGTCCTAGAGGTGAAATTAGTCATATTACACTAAGGAACATGTGGCAGCACAAATATCAAGTGAATATTTCTTAGTTTTTAATTTTTTTGTTTTATAGATTGAATGCTTACTTTAACAACTATAATGGTGTTTTTTTTTCTTCTAGTTAATGGCTTTTTAAATTTTGCTAAATTTTATAAATACTAAGATCTATTTCTGTTTGTAAGGATAAAATGAAAGCCCATCAGTAAACTGAAAATTTAGTCACAGAACTACACATTATATTTGATTTCTATTTTAGGTTGTATCACATTTTTCCAGTATTTTTAATATAATTTTATTTTCCATAAATTATTATCTAATGTTTGACCTAGTAATTGATATTTGTTTTGTCTTTCACTTGATTGTTAGGTAATTATATTCTACAACAAAGAAGTAAAAAATCAAAAGATTTTCACAAGTAATAGCATTATCTCCCCTTGGCCAAATACAACCAGTAAAACAGAAGCCATCAAGTTTCTCAACAAATCTTTTTCTGTTGGTTACATTGAAAAAGTTGTTGTATGTCAAGGTATGTAGTTTTAAATTTTAGTTTATAAATACCTATTTAATGTCAAGGTATGAAGTATAAATACTTATTTTAGATGTAAAAAAAAAGGAAAGCAAATTACCACTTGTACAGTAAAATTAAGATTCCTTAACATTTTTTAACTTTCCAATACAAAATGATAAAAAAAATGTGCTTATTTTGAAATGACAAATTGTACATCTGCTTATTTTAAGTGACAGAATGTATTGCTGTTTTTTTCTCCTTTTGCAGGAATCTTGACCCCCCAGACCCTGACCATTGTGAAGTGTCCGTGGGGCAGCTTGAAGAACTGGATCAGCTCCTGGTCGGCTGTGTTTCAGGAATGGGTGGAGAACTCTAGCCAAGTTTGTCTCATGCCCCTCAATGTTGTCATGGCTGACTTTTGTGAGAGCAATCAAGTTGTGGAGAAGGTCATTGAACTCAATTATAAAAGATCAAACAAACTGTGATATTAGATCTGTTATTTATATGTACACATTCTTGTGAGAACGATTTTTCAAATATTAATGTATGTCAATCTAGAAGAAAACAATTTTTTTCTAATTTTGTATATTAGGTTGTAAATAATATAATTCATTTTACCATTGCTAAAGCCTGTGGACATAATAGCATGTTTTGTCAGGGTACTGGTTTTTTATAGATATAATTTTATAATGTTCATGGTTATGGACCACACTATTATTTGGCTAAACTGTTTTTAATAAGTTTTAGTACACTGTAAAATAAATGTTATATAAAATGGTGTAATATAATTGAATGAACTAAGTTAAAACCTACTTTTGAAACATAGCTTGAACTAAAAACAAATTTGAAGTGAATGTTTGGATGTATTTAAATTGCTTTTTCAAAATACTAATAGGGGACTGGATTTTTAAAATGTATAATTCAATTTTAATGTTATTACTTTTTTAAACTATTATTTACTTTTGGTTTTATTTATTTTTGCTTTTACTTTCTGAAAAATATATTGGTATTTTAATAAAATTAGTTATTCCTAGTATAAAACGCTTTGTGACTGAAATAATTGTTACCTGTTATTAAAGTAAATAATTGCTTCACTACTTCTTTAATGTAAAATACAAAAAAACAAGAACCTCTTGCCATAGTTTAAATATATTTACATTTATTTTCAAACTTATTGCACATAAACAATTGACAACAAGTGAAAAAGAAAACCATTTGCACTTCTACTGGTTCAGAGAAATGGAACAATCAATACTGTTTAAAAATGAATATTTCACATTTTGCATAAAATTACTCAAACAGATCATTTTGTTTTGTTTTGCAGCAAATCTCAAACAATTATACAATGCACCCATTGGTTTAAAACCTTAACTGCAAGGCAACTAATAAAACAAGTGATTATAAAAATAAATGATCATTAAAACTTTATAAAATAATGGTTTAAATTTGTTTTTAAAACTAAAGCATGTAATAAAATTAAGTAATGTTTTGTTTTGAGTTAGCACTGTATATCCAACAACTTATGCTGCCTTAAGTATGGATGTTAAAGAAAAACAAAATTCAGATCAATATTAGTGCTGGCCTACTTCAGTAAGAAAAACTTTGTGCTAATTACACAAGAAAAAAATCTTCCTGTAATTAATTTAAAAGATTTTAAAATTACACAGAGGGCAAACAAGTTACACCTGAAAAAACCACGAGAAAGCAACTCTAAAACAACAAGCCATAAGTACTGTAACCATTGTAGCTGACCACTGCTGGCATAACATGGACAAGTGCAAGCATTGTGGGGTAACAAATCTAATACTTCCATTCTATACTGCTACCAACTGGTGAAAACAACACACTAGCTTTAGAATGATTGAAATACAATAAAAAGCTGGTGTTCCAACCTGCTTTGGTTTGCTGGTGAGGGAATGTCTTATGTAAACAACAAACATCAAGAGATAGAAAATTTCCATTACAGAGACTGCTGTCAAACTTGCTCAGGGGAGATAAATTCATTCAATCAGTAGAGAACTAGAACCTTCACACCAAAACTGAAACTACAATGTAGTACAACACAGGATCATTCAAATCTTACTACTTTTTACTTAGGACCATTTGTATCTTCCTACTTTACTTTATTTAGGATAATTCATGTGACAGCTTGATTTATTTTTAACTGTGTGTTTTAAAATGAAAAATAAGCAAAAAACCTATAATTTCAAAGTTAAAATAAATTAAATCATAAAAATTCTATTTGTTCATTAGCACATTTTTAAACATGTTTAAAATTGAAGCTGTTAATCATTTACTTTAATAAAAAACTTACAGCTGATTTAATTTTTCAAACTTTAAATTCAACAGTTAATAAGGTTTTTACTTTATTTAAAAAATGAAACAGTGAAAAGCTTTTAGCTGTAACAAGTCTAGGCATACAAAAAGTTACATAGCATTGGAATTCATTGCAATTTATTAAATAAATAAATCCTGATCAAACTTGAAGTAGGATATGCTTTAATTTAATCACATGGTTGTGTTTAAGTATGTGAGGGGAACTTTGTTAATCCAAGTCATTACAAATATTAGAGGCTTAATTACAAGGCTGCTCCAAAATCCAATGTTTAACATAGCTCAGTTGTGACTCTAGCAATGACTTGCTTGCTTCAGATCCAATATCCAACCATGCTGTTAGAACTCAGCTTGGCTAATAAGGTTTCAACAAGCTCAAATTTTTCCTAGAAAAATGAAGCAGTGGGTCAAGTTTCACATGAGACTATCAGTGGACTCATCTCTTCTGATTTTCTGGTATGTAACTTGAGGGGTTTCTAACTGGCTTACAGGTCATAGGCTGGGGTGGCTGGTACATTGTGTGTTTGGCTGAGGAGTGTACCTGCTGGATCTTGTAGCTGGTGGAAGACTGCATGGCGTACTGCAGGTTTGGGCCATGGGACTTGACACTGTACGAGGACGAGGAGGATGTGATCTGGCCGTCAGGGTAGGACAGCCCGGGGTGGGAGGATGGTGACACTGGCTGGGCATGATGGGAGGTGGGGGAGGTGACCTGCTGGGAGAAGTAGCTGGGCTGGATGGATGACAACGGCGCCGACACCGATCTGTTGTACGGCTGTTGTGGGCCACGTGTTGGCTGTTTCAGGTTGGAGGTGGAGAAGGGGTGGTGGGCAGGAGACTGGTGGGTGTGGCTGGATGAAGCCGAGTGCTGTGAGGCGCTCCCAGAGTGGGAGGAATGTCCATCACTTTCTACAGACAGGGGAGAAGACGACCTTGAAGTGGGGTCGGCCCCAATCAGCTGTCTGTGGTACTGGTCTATCAAGCGCTGGCGCCTCAGCTTCTCACTGTACCTGTAGAAGTCTGAGATCTCGTACGGCTTGGTCACCTCTGTGTGGGGCTGCAGGCGGGTGACCGTCACAAGAGCACTGCTGGCGTGGGTGGCTGGGCTCCGGGGGGAGGAGGGCCCTGATGATACGGGAGAGGCAGGCTGGTAGCTTTGTGAGTACTGAGGCACAGGGGAGGTGGAGGTTGGGCTCTCTATACGCTGGATAGGTATAGTGCGAGCCGTGTCTGAAAAACCAGGCTGAGTTTGAGTGGGTGAGGTGACCTGTGGCTGGTAGTGATGGTAAGGATGCTGGGATGGCCTGTCAAAGCCAGAGGGTGGTAGCGGCCGCTGGTGGTGGTGGTAGGGGGGAGGCTGTGACCTGAGGGGGGACAGGCTCCTCTCTGTCCTGTGGAACACGGGCTGTGATGAGGTGTGGTGGACCCCAGACAAGTTGTGCTCTGGGTTCTTGGTGTGTACGTGGCTCTCATCAATGTCCTGGTATGGCCTGCTGCCCATGTACGCACGAGGCATGTACACATGATCAGCTGTGGTGGCCAGGCTACCAGCTGCAGGTTTGAGTCTATCATGCTCTGGGCTGTGGAGCTGAGCTGAAGCTTCGCCCCAGGCTGGTTTAGCTGCAGGCATAGACTGGCCACGCTCATGGTGTACAGGAACCTCCACCATGATATTTGCGGGGCTGGTCAGATCTCTGTAGTTGCCTGCCCTTGCCCCGCTATACTCCGCAATGTTTTGGTGGTGCCTGGACTTGAACCTCACTGGCGAAACATCTCTGTGAAACTGCTGTCTGTAGTCTCGTCGTTTCCTGTCCAGGCTGCCGTAATGTAAATTTGGCGCGCTGGGGTTGGCTGCAGCACGTAAAAACGGCTCGTCCCCGGGGCCATTTTTAGAAGGTCCGTACTGAGGATCTGGGTCATGTGACTTGTGTAAGGGGTAGATGGTCCCAGGCTCTGAAGTGGCTGGTGAGCGCAGCTGGTCGGTGCTCTCGTAGTGCGAGGTGCGTTGTGATGTGACGTTGTACATGTTGTTGGCGGAGCTGAAGCCGCTGTCGTGGCTGCCATCCAGGCGCATGTTGGCGGCCAGCGGGAGGGTGGTGTCAGTGTCCAGGTGGTCACTGTTGTTCCTGCTGCCCAGAACTGTGGGGTAGTGCTGGCCTCTCTGCACCCCCCGCCCCTGTGCTCCTCCATTTGGTGTGTAGCCTGCTGAAAGCTGGGGACTGAAGATAGACAAGAAACAATTAGTAAACAATTGCAGAGTTTAAGCGGTCTTACAGTATACTGTAACTTTTAACTTTAAAAAAGTGTGCAGCATTTTTATAATCTAATATATGTAACATTTATTGTAAGAAAAGTAAAATTCATAAAGCCATAAAAATGTTCAAGTTTTAAAAGCTATAGAAAAGATGTAGAACATGCAGATAACAAGTCAGCCCTAGTCTGGTGTATACCTGCTGTGGCTTGGACTGAGGGCAGTTCTGTGATTCTCTTCTGTAGCTGGTTCTGCTGGCCTGGGAGCCTGTCAATAGAGTAGATATTAAATGGTGTTTACAATCTTCACACATCATCATCTAACCCCATACAATGTCACTTGGTTCTTCCTGGCAACTCCCCCCACCAAAAATTACATTTAGGCTCAAATGTGATGTTTTTCAAAGTTTCCAAATTTTAAAAAATAATTGCTTAATTTCACTTGTTATTTCATTTACCTCCTCCATGTGGCATAGACAGGAATTTGTCAGAGGAGAAATGGGGGGGGGGGGGGGGGTTTAGAAAGAAGAAAAACTATTTAAAAACTTTAAATTGTTTTTAAGCCATTCAGTATTTTGAAGCTGTGAATACAAAGCCACACAAGCACACCATTGGCTGTACTTCACATGAAAACTCTGATTATGGGTTCCATGGGGGAGGGGGGGGGGGGGGAGGAAGTTCTAATCCTCCCCTATATCACTCCCTTCTCACACCCCCACCCCACTCTTTCCTCTTTAGATTATGTTGTCATTCATGAACAACCACCTAAAATTCTTTACAGTGCCTGAATTTTTAATTTTTGGAACAAATTATAGTCAAACAATAATAAAATGAAATGTTGGGGGCATTAGGGGTGGAGGTCCTACATCAATTTCACAATGCTGCATCTAATTATAGCAGAGTATAAATAACAGTATTGAGAGTAGCTCCCCTTACCTGTGTGGTTTGCTTGTTTGGTACAATGGTTATCCCAACTCCTCTGTCTGAAAATAGAGAGAGAGAAAAATCCAGCTATAATAAGAATAGGGAATACCCATTTGGTGTCAAGGGCACAAATTCATTCAAACAAAAAAAAATTGGGCAATGTATGCAGAGCTGCAGCATTAGGCAGCAGTTTGATGTCTGGTTGAGTGATAAGCCATGTCAAACCATGCTGATTTAAGAAAAACTTTCTTGTCTCCAGATATTTTGTAGTCAACCACTCAATATTCACATTGTGTTTTTTTAAAATATATGTACACAAGTTTGAAGAAGTATATCCAATTAAGTTGGTTTAATTTGGCTCTTTGGTGGTACCATGGTAACTTCTTTCTTATCTGTATAGTTTATGTTATCTGCATCAACATAACCTTTTTCTATCTGTCGTATCCTGGGTATCAACACAACTTTCTTATCTGCAGTATTCATGTTATAAACAGGCCCAAACATTTTTTGTGTTCAATGAATTAAAAATAAAAAATTGTGGGAGTGACTGGCCCTGTTTTCCTTCTCAATCTCCCTACAGGTGGCTTTTATACACACACAATTAAAATGGTCAATTTTCAATCTTGTTCAGCAAGATTGTGCTCCATGTGTAGCTGTGCTACAGGTGTAGCCAGGCAGCATGTGCTACATGTGTAGCCATTCAGATGATTGTACACACCCCACAAGTTTGTTTAGAAGGCATGAAAGATGTCATGTGATTAAGGTAATTAGTTGTGCTAAAAGTGACAACAGTGTGAAGGTTTCAGGTACGATTGTTTCTGATCACATATTTGTCCATGTGATTTATTTAAAGTACTAAGATTAAATGAGGACAATCTTGATTGTGATTAGCAATGTTGATACCTGGTATCAATGAGGACAAGGTTTATTGAAGACTGTAGGGTGATCATGTGATTTTTGTTGTCAAACAACCACCGCGTGCTGGATCATCAGGCTCAGTGAAAAACTTGGGTGTATATGTATGTTTGGGACACCTATGGCAGGTGTACACAGAAAGTTATTGCTATAAAACCAGTATGTGTGTGACAGGTGTACATGTCCAGTGTGTGTGTGTGTGTGTGCGTAACACCTATAGCAGGTGTACAAATTGTTGCTATAAATCCAGTGTGTGTGTGTGTAACACATATAGCAGGTGTACAAATTGTTGCTACAAATCCAGTCTGTGTGTACATGACAGGTGTACATGTCAACTTGTTGCTATAAATCCAGTATGTGTGTGTGTGTGTAACACCTGTAGCAGGTGTACAAATTGTTGCTACAAATCCAGTCTGTGTGTACATGACAGGTGTACATGTCAAGTTGTTGCTATAAATCCGTGTCTTTACAAGCAGTGTGCTGTAAACCATTCATCAAAGTTGTTCATGCGTGACTGACTGCATTGAATAGATTTTCTTTTTTTTAAAGTTGTAGTCAGTGCACACAAATATGAATTTTTAAAGTTTGACTTCTATTTTTTTTCTCCACAGAAAGTTTAAATGAATCCATTGTTCTGCTGTAGAAAATGTGAAAGGGATGGGAACAATGATGTGAGGTGAGGAGGGGGGGGGGGGGGTTGTGAGGGAGATTGAACATGTGATAATTGGGATATTAAGCAGTGTTTGACACACAGGGTTAAATAAATGTGTTACACACTTGATTACACAACTGATTACACATTATTTGATTACACACAATATGGAATAAATAGAGGAAATTAAAAGTTATCCAAAAGATGTTATATATTGTTACATTGTGTATGTAATAGTGAAAACTGTTTAGTTTATTTAATCCAATAATTTTATCCCTATTTTTTTACACCATCTAAACCTAAATTTTACTACATTATTTTTAAGTTATTTTTTGTTGACCTGATTAGACATGACTTACCAAAACAAAAATTATAAACAAAAATAAAGTCAAATTTAGAGTTGGAAGATATTAAGCTTTTAATGTTTCAATGTTTACAAGAACACAATGTGTATTGTTTTACTGCCACTTAAGCCTAGCACATCCACCAAACAAAAAGAAGCCAGAAACAAAGTGTATCAAGGCAAGAACATTCCAGAACTTTTTCAAAAATCCACAGGATCATCTCAAGTTATTGTATTTCTTAGGATCAATCTTTACTTTAAAATCATTTTAAAATTGTAATGGTACTCCTTATAGATAAAACAATGAAGACTTTAATTTTTAATCTTTAAAAAGCTCTTTTTAAAGAAAAACATCAATTAGAAATTAAAAATGATACCAAATTAATTAAACATAAAATTGTAATTAAAAAGTAAGACAAAATTAAAAACAGTTCAGTGTGAACTATAATGCACTTTATTGCATTATTTCATTGGCTAATGATGTATTGCATTATTTCATTGGCTAATGATGTATTGCAATATTTCATTGGCTAATGATGTATTGCAATATTTCATTGGCTAATGATGTATTGCAATATTTTATTGGCTAAAGATGTATTGCAATATTTCAATGGCTAATGATGTACTGCAATATTTTATTGGCTAATGATGTATTGTAATATTTCAATGGCTAATGATATATTGCAATATTTCAATGGCTAATAAATGATTAATTGTAAAACTTCATTGGCTATCAAGCTAACAAGGCTAAACCCATGATGCCAATTTAAACAATAATGTACTTCTTACAGCCACACATACTAATCCAGCCTCAGAACAAAGTAAAGCAATCTACACTGCTAAAACTTAAAACATCAATGCAAATATAAAAACATACAACTGAAGGGAAACTAGGCACAAATGAGAGCAGCATCATATCAACAGATGGTTACATAAGGGTTAAGTTGGATAGAGTTTTTTACTTACAGCAGATCAGTGAGCTCAGATCTCATTATTTACTTCATTTAGTTGGTAACTTTATTAGAAATTTTAGTTGGTAACTTTATTAGAAATTTTAGTTGGTAACTTTATTAGAAATTTAGTGAAAGATTTTAACTGATGGTTGTTTTTTATCAAATATTTGACTTTTTTTTTAACAGATGTTGAAAATAGTAGATATGTATTTTAAACATGATATATTTACTTGTAAGTTTATTTGAAATGATATGGTTTTAAAATTTAATATGCTATTAAAATCAATCAAGGAAATTAAAAAAAAATCTTTTAAAAATAAACTGTATGGACAAAGCTAAAGCTCTATAATGCAAGATAAGGCAGGCAACATCCAAAAGGTGTGTTCAACCAGTAGTTGTAAAGGTGATAGATTTGATTGAGAAATATATCAGAAATTTGTTTTTAAACTTATAAAACAGATTTTTTTTTAATGCTGCATAAAAACGTCAGCAATTATAGCATAAAAATTGTTTATAAAAATAGAAATATCACAGACTTGTCTAATAGCAAAATATGAAAAATATATCAATATCCAAGTATAGGTTTTATTGTATATACATACATGATTTACAATTTGTTATTTACAAAGAGTTATTTACAATGAATAAAGTAAAATGAGTTAGGCACACATTATGAATTGGTTACTTGTTACAGTTGGGAAAGACACAATGTAGATATGTATATAAGATATATAGGGTTATGCATGTGATCTGGCTGTGTGCTAAATGTGTTCATGACAGTCAGCTAGTTATGTTGATGACTTAGCTAATGACTTTCACAATAAGCTAGTTATGTTGTTAACTTAGCTAATGACTTTAACAGTCAACTAGTTATGTTGATGACTTAGCTAATGACTTTCGCACTTATGCTAATGACCTACATCAAACTGTTGTTACTATGCTGCTGTTGGTTGTTAAACTGTTCTGTCTACTACTGGAGTGCCACGATGATCTGCGTCTCAGTGCCATATACTCAGGCCTAGACTCAGAACTGACTTGACCATTACTGACACTGTCAGATCCTTGCTGACATGAATTGACATATCCATTACTGACACTGTCAGATCCTTGCTGACACAAACTGACATGACCATTACTAACACTGTCATATCCTTGCTGACATGAATTGACATTACTGACACTGTCAGATTCTTGCTGAAATGAACTGACATATCCATAGCTGACACTGTCAGATCCTTGCTGACATGAACTGACATATCCATTACTGACACTGCTAGAAGAACTGACCCTCTCCCTACCAGAGTTTCTCTTGTCCCCTGTGTAGCTAACTACAGCAGAGGCTGAGCGGGACTTAGGGTAGAGTGTTCTAGAACGAGCACCTGCCATCTCCGCTAGCTCATCACTCACACACTCATCTACATCTTTATCTTTAAAGTCTCTGTACGTATTAGGTAAGCTTTCTCTTTTCACTAAACCTGCAGGTTTGTTTATCCCATTCAAGGAAGGAATGCACGTAATCTTACCATTCACATTGGGCAAGTCTGTTTTATTAGATTTAGCTTTTTCACGCTTTTTAGAAAAGAAAGAAAATGATTTCCTGGCAGTGAGTGCTATGTTTTTGGCTGGGGAGTTTTCTAATTTGAGATCATCTTTGGTGAGTAGTTTAGTTCCTGGTTTGATGGGACTGACCCTGGCATCCAGGCTGGCATCAAACGACCTACTTCTGGCTTTAGGCCTGCTGTTCTCTGAACTTTTGAGCAGCTCTTGAATTTTTTTATCCAGCTCTGCTGCTCCACCAGGACACACCTGGGCTGGAGTTTTGACATCAGCCTGGTCAAACAACGACCGTTTGACCTGTGGGGCACGGCTCCTGCCTCGGCCCACGTTTTCTTCCTCGACTCTCCCCATGTAAACGTGCTCAAAGGTTTTATAAACTTGTTCAATGTTGCAAGAGGCGGAGGAAGAGCGGCTGAGCTTGTTGCACCTGATCAGCACTTTCTTCCTGCTCATCACTTGGGTGCTCGGCTGCCTCTCCTCCTGTTTCAACAAACTATCATCCAAGCTTTCGTTGCCCAGAGTGTCGTTTAAACTATCCGTGTCGTCAAGGTCGTCGTCGTACTCCGACACAGCCAACATGGCACTCTCGCGACTCGTACTCCCAGCCTGGATACATCCGGCTGACCTTGACCTCGTGAAACCTGATTTGATTTCAGTCAAGCGCATGGGCTGGAACCCACGGCTGACAATGAAATGTTTCCTGCGGTCAGGTTTGAGGGTCAGGCTCAGATCCTCGTCTAAAAACACTGAGGGAGTTTTGCTGGGACTGCGAGACTCTATAGAGTAAAATCCACTGGAGGTGTCATCCCTCATGGAGCGTCCCGAGCTGGGGCTCTCAGACAGGGAGCACACATCATCAGCACATCCATCACTGTACACCTTACTGGCATGGCTGAACACACTGCTCATGCTGGGGCTATATCCACAACTGGAGTCTCTATAGTCAGTGGTTACACTAGAGTCCCCACTGTAAGTGCTATTGCCACAGCTGTCGTCCTGCCTATGGCCACGGGTCGCATGCACAAAACCAAGGCTAAGGAGGTCAAGGTCACTGTTACAGCGGGGAGCAATCACATGGTACATACCGTCATGCGCCATGCCTGTCTGGTGTTGGCTGGATGAAGTTTTCCCAACTTGCTTCCTCATTTCACGCAGCTTTTTCTCCATCTCTTTTAGCTGGAACAAAATGTAATCAACAAAAATAGTTTCACAAAAATATGTCAACAAAAATGTATCAATAAAAATAGTTTAAATGAAATATGTTAACAACATTTTTTTTAAAAATATTCCAACCAAAATATTTACACTTAATGTTTATCATGTCAAGATTCGAAAAAACAATTTATAGCGAGTAAATGTTATCTGTTTATTTCTTACACCTCTAAGCAGTGGATGTGAAAATTAAAAGAAAATTGTACCTTGCCAAGGGCTTTAGTGTAACACTGCTTGCGCTGCTTACGCACGTATTTACTAACAGTTTTATCACTGGCCAGTTTTTCTGCTGCTGCCGTTATTTTCCCCTGTAGTTCCACTTCCAGCTCTAGCTTGGAGAGGTCACTGGACAACTGGAGAGAGGAGCAAAGTTAGTATACAACAACTGGATGGGAGAGGAGCAAAGTTAGTATACAACAACTGGATGGGAGAGAGGAGCAAAGTTAGTATACAACAACTGGATGGGAGAGGAGCAATGTTAGTATACAACAACTGGATAGGAGAGAGGAGCAAAGTTAGTATACAACAACTGAATGGGAGAGGAGCAATGTTAGTATACAACAACTGGATAGGAGAGAGGAGCAAAGTTAGTATACAACAACTGGATGGGAGAGAGGAGCAATGTTAGTATACAACAACTCTTATAGACAGGGACACTTATACAACTGACTGATATTCATAGGATCAACATTATTATATAACAACTGACAGCTATTCAAAGGATCAACTTTATCACTTGACAACTGACAAAGGTTGTATATTGTATTTTATTACTTTATTTCATTAAAGTAAAACTATCTACTTGTTATATTATTTATCACAACATTGTGCTTTAACAAATGGTTCTATTAAAATGTCCCTACTATATAACATTGGTAACAAATCTTTACTTTCCTACTCTATTAAATTCCTATGGATTGTTGGCCCCCCCACCTGTTGCATCTGATTGAGTGTGCCATTCAGAGAAATCCAATAATCCTTGCAAGTTATACTGTGCTGCTGGCTAGAATATGCTTTTTTTTTTGTTGTTGTGTACTTTACACAGTTGACCAAGTACTGTGGTTTATATCTGTGGTACTTACATTGTTGATATCTTTAGCATGGGACACTGTGGTACTTACATTGTTGATATCTTTAGCATGGGACACTGTGGTACTTACATTGTTGATATCTTTAGCATGGGACACTGTGGTACTTACATTGTTGATATCTTTAGCATGGGACACTCTGCTACTTACATTGTTGATATCTTTAGCATGGGACACTGTGGTACTTACATTGTTGATATCTTTAGCATGGGACACTGTGGTACTTACATTGTTGATATCTTTAGCATGGAACACTGTGCTACTTACATTGTTGATATCTTTAGCATGGGACACTGTGGTACTTACATTGTTGATATCTTTAGCATGGGACACTGTGGTACTTACATTGTTGATATCTTTAGCATGGGACACTGTGGTACTTACATTGTTGATATCTTTAGCATGGGACACTGTGCTACTTACATTGTTGATATCTTTAGCATGGGACACTGTGGTACTTACATTGTTGATATCTTTAGCATGGGACACTGTGGTACTTACATTGTTGATATCTTTAGCATGGGACACTGTGGTACTTACATTGTTGATATCTTTAGCATGGGACACTGTGGTACTTACATTGTTGATATCTTTAGCATGGGACACTGTGGTACTTACATTGTTGATATCTTTAGCATGGGACACTGTGGTACTTACATTGTTGATATCTTTAGCATGGGACACTGTGGTACTTACATTGTTGATATCTTTAGCATGGGACAGAGAGAATGCAGTGCCAACTCTCTTCCTGAAGACAGGAACAGGTTCACCATGAGCTAGTGGCATGTCTTTAGGCACCTCTCCAGTCAAGTCCTGCAAGTATCATTGTAATTGTTAGCACTGGCTCAATTGGCAGTATAATGGTTAGTGCTAAGAGAATTAGCAGTAGGCTGTACTGGCTAGTGATATTTCAAGGTAAATGTGGGTATGTGTGTGGGGAAAGTAAGAGTGGGAGGGTATGGTGGAGGTGGGGGGGGGGGGGGGGGGGGTAAGAGATAGACAATATGTTCTTACAAGTCAAGAAAGAGAAGAGGTAACACTTACACCTTCCTGCAGACAAAGAATTTTAAGTTCCTCTGTCTTCTTCCTTAAGGCATCCTCTAGCGCCTCCTTCCTGGCCTTCAGTGCTTGATACATGTCTCTCTCAGCCTTGAGGGAGTCGGACTGCTCGATGGTCACTGGACAAGGGAGAAAACAACTTTATATTCAAAGTCTTCACAGTGTCAACACATTGAACACTAGTAAACAGGACTGGCTTCAGAAAGACAATCACTTAGTAGACTAGGCAGTATTCAAATAAATGACTTTCAATATAGTCATGGGAAACAACTCTCATAGACAATTATCACCTTAACCTGGCTAGTATAACTTATGAAGGGCGATGATTAATAAAATTGTATTCTTTATAAGTCTGTATGATCGAGCTACGCGAAAAGTGGGACTGGGATACTTTCAGTGGTACATTTATAGTCAGTTAGTCAATGCCTAGTTGTCTTAGTGTATATGAATACGCATCAAGTTGTTGTGAGTGTTGGGATGGATAAAGTACAATGCCTTAATTGTCCAAGCAGGAAGTGAGAGAATGGAGGTTGCAACATTACACACAGATCCCACATTGTGATGCTAGCGTGACTAACTGTAAGCAACAACCGGGTTATACCAGCCTATTCACACTTCACGCCTGTCATCGTCTGCTAATAATAAACAAATACGGGATGGAAACTTCACCCCCCCCCCCCTGAGGACGGCATTAAAATGTAATGTCGTGGTGTGGGGCGATGACGAACACGTTTTTTTTTTACTTCCCGTCACTGGTCTCCGTGCCGGGTGCCGGCAGGAAGTACGGCTGTAGATAATGAGAGCAAGTCGAATGTCACAGACTCCCGTCACTGGTCGCCGTGCCGGGTGCCGGCAGGAAGTACGGCTGTAGATAATGAGAGCAAGTCGAATGTCACAGACTCGGCGCCGTGGGAAGTCACTCACACATAGGTCAAGGTCAGCACGGTGATGCTACTCACCCGTTATCTCAGTCGGTGTTTAAAGTTAAGCCGTGGTTTCCCCCTCCCCCCCACCACAAGCAGAGAGCAGGGGTGTAAAAAGCGTCTAACCTAACATGTTTCACACAATAATGTCGTGTCCATTTTTAAAATTTAAACAAAAGTTTGTCTTGGGTGGTCTCACGGTTATAATAACGTCAGCTCTAGGTGTCAATCCAGTAAACCTGTGTCCAGTCACACAGAGTTACTCTACTCCACCTAGCTCTACCCCTCTATGAGACCGAGATGATGGTAAACCAGGAACGTGTACGATGCTGTAGAAACAAATAAAACCTGACGGGCGGACCGCTGGGTAGAGCAGGATACAGCAGATGTAGGCCACGGGCTAGTTACTCTACAACAAGGTGTAGCAGGCGGACATCACAACTAGAAAGTCTTCCGTTACCAACTACCTGCTATCTCAACAGAACGGAATTTTTCTGACGTTCGTTCACTTAAAGTTACACGGGTACTCGTTGATTAGACAAAGTGAAAGTGACGTCAATACAACACATAGAATGCCAACAGTAGTGAATACCTACTCTCAATGTTAATTCTACCTAATGGAATATTGGACATTCATATTTTACGAATTAGAATAAATACACGATATTTAAAAAACGACCAAAGATATCTTTTTAAAAAAAAAAAGAAACATAATATTATCATTTTAACAAAAAGTGAAGACAATAAAATCACAGAATTTAAGTAAGAAAAAAAAAACATTCTGCATAAAAATCATTCGGGTATTAACAGTTCGTTTGTATCTCCCCATCTCTGTCTCTCCTAACCAGTTTCTAGTTATGACTGTACCCCGCATTCTAAATTATAACTGAAACTGTGAAGATTACATTTATAGTATGAAAATATCAACATATCATAAATAACTGTAATTATTACCCTAACAATGTCACAATACCCTACAATTATAATATTACCCTAACTGTGTGACAATGTCACCCTATCCTACAATTATAATATTACCCTAAATGTGTGACAATGTCACAATATCCTACAATTATTATATTACCCTAACTGTGTGACAATGTCACAATATCCTGCAATTATAATATTACCCTAACTGTGTGACAATGTCACAATATCCTACAATTATTATATTACCCTAACTGTGTGACAATGTCACCCTATCCTATACAACTATTACCTTTACGAGGTGACCAGTCCACCTTACGGACAGCGCCACTAGCGTAGAGCGTCATGTCAATGCACACTGAACAGCACCGGTAAGTCGAGTGTATTGTCACAGGGACTGCTATTTTTAGACACGAGGATCCTCCCACATGACTAGATAGAGCAATAAACACTTGCCGAGTTCGCTGATTGGCTGTCAAGAACGTGGGTGATACGTGCCAGGTTTTTCAAGCGACAACAACTAGAATTTGTTTTTTTTTCCATAAACCCTAGTTGGTATACAGCGATGACTAATGTGTTCACTCTATTCAAATATGGTTATACGAGCACACAGATACCAGCTTTAGAAACTCTAACGCGACACGGATTTGTACGAAACCCTAACGACATAACCCTAGCCCACTAAACTCGAACACGATACAGTTAAAGTACAGAATAAAACTAACGAGGGACAAGTCAGTCTAAAGTACTTGGTCCGTCAATCTAACGTGATTCTATATCAGCCATTTAACGGGCTGAAGTATTTATTTGGTCCAAATCAGCGTATGTATATGCTATATCAGCTGTAGAATAGACTAGTGCTTCAAATGCCACCATCTTGTGCTTTACTACGTCACTTGGTATTTAAAAATGTACACAGCAACACCTGGTGGGGAGTGGGGGGGGGGGGGGGGGGGTAGTGGACTGTAACGTACACTTCAATTCAATAACAAATTAATAAATATTGGCCAGATGAATGGGCACCACACCATTCTGACGCACATATGGGTGACACAGTACTGGGGGAAATGGGGGCTGCTTATTTTTAAGTGACCTAATAAACCAGGTCCACACAGGTAAAAGACGACAGCTCGCATTGACACCTGCGTGAAATCAGTGCCACAAAGGTAAGTCAGGTAAACCACAGTATCTGTGTTATGGGGCAAACCTATCACACACATACAACACAGTATGGAGCATAGTCCACATAGTGACATATCAAACCTATCACACATAAAACACATAGTCCACATAGTGACATATCAAACCTATCACACATAAAACACAGTCCACTTAGTGACATATCAAACCTATCACACACATACAACACATACAACACAGTCCACTGAGTGACATAACAAACACTGTGATTGGAACTCGGAACGGGAAAATGTGCGTTATCAATGCGCATCGGAAAATTGTGCAAATAGTAAAAAGAGGAAACTGGAGAAAAAAAATTAAAACGAAATTTGCGCGCACAGTAAAATATATCAAGTGAATTTTTCTGTTTGAGCATTATTCTGTGAGCGAGGAAATTTGTGTACGCATGCATCCGTTGCGCGTTGTACTGGGAACCAACATACTCGTTGGTTTTGACTTTAAAGTGCACACAGCGTATACGCGCACACAATACGGACATCTTCATATTATTCCAAAACACGGAAATCTTTTGTTAACGTGTCAGATCACTGTCAAAAAGTGACGTAACACACGTCAAAAAGTGACGTAACACACGTCAAAAAGTGACGTAACACTAGTCAAAAAATGACCTAGTACTACATCCAGAGAGTGACCTAAGTCACCTAAGTGACTTAAGGGAGGCTAAACTAATTAAAAGCATATGCCCTTTGTTTATGCGACCTGTTGGGCACGGTGGGAAAAACGTACTGGTGGGTTCCCTATACTGAATGTGTAATCGGTCATATCCGGTGCAGCAGTGTAAACAATGAGGAGCACGTGTTTAGAGTTGAGTACAACAGCACGCCAGACTCACACCAAGACCAGACACACATCAATACATGGTACAGTAAAGCCCAAATGGTCTAGCCACACATCAATACATGGATGGTACAGTAAAGCCCAAATGGTATAGACACACCTCAATGCATGGTACAGTAAAGCCCAAATGGTCTACAGACACACCTCAATGCATGGTACAGTAAAGCCCAAATGGTCTAGACACACCTCAATGCATGGTACAGTAAAGCCCAAATGGTCTACAGACACACCTCAATGCATGGTACAGTAAAGCCCAAATGGTCTACAGACACACATCAATACATGGTACAGTAAAGCCTAAATGGTCTACAGACACACATCAATACATGGTACAGTAAAGCCCAAATGGTCTACAGACACACATCAATACATGGTACAGTAAAGCCCAAATGGTCTACAGACACACATCAATACATGGTACAGTAAAGCCCAAATGGTCTACAGACACACATCAATACATGGTACAGTAAAGCCCAAATGGTCTACAGACACACATCAATACATGGTACAGTAAAGCCCAAATGGTCTACAGACACACATCAATACATGGTACAGTAAAGCCCAAATGGTCTACAGACACACATCAATACATGGTACAGTAAAGCCCAAATGGTCTACAGACACACATCAATACATGGTACAGTAAAGCCCAAATGGTCTACAGACACACATCAATACATGGTACAGTAAAGCCCAAATGGTCTACAGACACACACCATTACATGGTACAGTAAAGCCCAAATGGTCTACAGACACACACCATTACATGGTACAGTAAAGCCCAAATGGTCTACAGACACACATCAATACATGGTACAGTAAAGCCCAAATGGTCTACAGACACACATCAATACCTGGTACAGTAAAGCCCAAATGGTCTACAGACACACATCAATACATGGTACAGTAAAGCCCAAATGGTCTACAGACACACATCAATACATGGTACAGTAAAGCCCAAATGGTCTACAGACACACATCAATACATGGTACAGTAAAGCCCAAATGGTCTACAGACACACATCAATACATGGTACAGTAAAGCCCAAATGGTCTACAGACACACATCAATACATGGTACAGTAAAGCCCAAATGGTCTACAGACACACACCATTACATGGTACAGTAAAGCCCAAATGGTCTACAGACACACACCATTACATGGTACAGTAAAGCCCAAATGGTCTACAGACACACATCAATACATGGTACAGTAAAGCCCAAATGGTCT